CCTGAAACCTCAGAGTTTTCAACTTGCTCTGTTTTGGCAGACTTGCAACTTTGAAAAAGGCCCATTTGTCATTGACACTTTCTGGGGTTTAGAGGACAGTCATGGTACCTTAATTAGTACCTGAAGTCATTACTTTGTATTTCTCTCTTTGCTCGCCTTTTGGAAGAGGAGATTTTTTTATTGAATGAAATAACTAGATTTGTGGTGGGATAGCCTTGGCAAAGAGTGAAATGCTCACCACCTATTCAGCAGGATTAGAGAGAAAAATAGAATGAGAAAGCTCATGGGTCAGGAGTCAGGGCAGAACAGTCTTGACATGTGGAAAATCAATTTGTTGCTGATCTAAAATAATGTGAACTTAATGGGAGAACAAACACTAGGACAGCTTTCTTGCTCCTTGGCCTGAGCTCAACTTCATTCCTTCCCTTTAGGCTCTTCTACCTAGAATCATAAAATCATTAAGGTTGGAAAAGACCTCATACCTCATCCAGTCCAATGGTTAAGCTAACCCTTCCAGGTCTACCACTAAACCATGCCCGTGAGTGCCACATCTACACCTTTTTTAACATTGCCAGGGTCAGTGATACCACCACTTGCCAGAGCAGGGCAGTTGTTCCAATGCTTGTCTGCCCTTCCAGTGAAGAACTTTTTCCTAATATCCAATCTAGCTCTCCCCTGCTGCAATTTGAGACCATCTCCTCTTCTCCTTGTGCTTGTTACCTGGAAGAAAAGACCAACCCCACGTGTCTACATCCTCCTTTCAGGCAGTTGTAGAGAGCAATGACATCCTCCCTGAGCCTCCTTTTTTCCAGACTAGACACCCCCAGCTGCCTCAGCCACTCCTCCTAGGACTTGTGCTCCAGACCCTTCATCAGCTCCATTGCTCTTCTCTGGACTCACTCCAGTAGCTCTATGTCGTTCTCATAGTGATGGGCAGCTACTCCACCCAGTTATGTAATAGGCAATTTACATCATGACTTTGTTACGTAATCTCCATTTTCAAAAGTTGTTGAGAGAATTTCAAGGCTGGAATGACTCATGAAGTGATTTTGTGTGTTAACAGTTAATTCAGGGGCTGAGTTGTCTGTCAATAGTTGAAGGACCATCATAAATAATGGACTACATTATGTTACAGACAGACAGGGAAAACCATGATAAATATCAGGTAATTGATGACGTAGTATGAGCCTCAGTGTAATGCACATTATGATTTTTTTTCTCCCCACCTCGCAAAGGAGGAGCAGTTTCCAAGTGAGACGTTTCAGTGAGGTGGCCAGCCTGGTGGCTTGAGACTTGGTCCCATTCCTAAGCTTGTATCACCAAAGCAAAAATTAAAGTTGGATGTAGTTTTCTATGCTATGTGCCTGTTTTCCCTGGATTTTAAATGTCAAATGTAGAGTGCATTTTTAGATATTAAAAGAAGCTGTTATGAAGAATTAACTTTGAATTCTCAGCTCTTCAGACTTACCCAGGAACAATTTTCATAAAGGAAAACCAAGACTATCCTACAAAAAGTACAATTCTCTTTATCCAGAAACTCTGCCAACAGTGTGTCACTCCATGCGCCTTATAGACCTGCCCATTTTTTTTCACTAATGAAGCATATTTTTGAGCCAGTATTCCCAAAAGTTTAACTAATTTTAACCTCTTGTGTTGTTAACCTGGACTAGCTCACACAGAGCTATGCCAGCTCTCTCATAGAAAAGATGGGGAGTGAGATGGACTGCTCTATGTACCATTACATTTTTATGTGGCTTGCTTCAAGTACCTTTTAAAAAAAGTTTTCACCCTTAGCAGCATTGTTATACTTGTGCATAAATCTGTGCATTGGGTGGGTGTGGCCTGTGGGTGAAACACTGATGGGGCAGTCAGTACTGTGCAAAATAAAGTTTTGCCAGTTGTTTTGAGGATGAGGGAATGTTTTTAGGGCAGCTTTATGCAGTGACTGCCTCCTTGGAAAACCACGTCTGAGACTGCGTATTGAGGATGATGCAGTCTATGGTGTACACATATATGGTATTGCCTTCCATTTGCTCTTAGGGCCCAGTGGTTCATTAAGGGGAAGTAGGAACCAATTTGGCAAACCATGCAGAGCTAGAAGCTAGACTAGTGTGCCTTGCCTTGTGCTGAACATGATAGACCTGCCTAATTATGGTCCTTCACTCAATTATCCTGGGAGAGATTGGTAATTCACATCATTTTTATGCAATGGTTAATTTCATCCTGGTGTTCCAGCTTGTGAAAATGTACTGACCTTGTAAAATTCTTCTCCAGAAGAATAAGGTGGGTAAGGGAGAAATTATTTCTTGTGAAGGTGCTGAGATGGTGGAACAGGGAAGTTGTGGCTAGACCATGACTGGAAGTGTTCAAGGTCAGGATGGATGGGGCTTTGAACAACCTGACCTTATGTTTCTGGTGGTGGAAACAGGTAATTTTTTCCATTCTGCTACTGCTATCTGGTATGAACTGGAGTTTTATCACTGCAAGGAGGAAAAAGGAAACATGGCTGGCTCCTGTTGACACCTAGGTTGTATCTGATGCACTGTGTCAATGGGAGAAGCCTCCAGGAAGATATAGGGAGATGAGAACTACATCATGTCTGTTTCACTGCATGCCATCAGGCCACACAACAGGAAGGAAGAACCTGAAACATGTCAGGTCCATCAGGCTGATGCCTTTTTAGCCTGTGAACTTGGCAATGTTAGGTTTAGGGCTGGACTCAATGATTCTAAAATTCTTTTCCAAATTAAACAGTTCTGTGATTCTCTGGTCTAGTGAAGGTGTGCTGCCTATAGTAGGGGATTTGGGAATTAATGCTCTTTAAAGTCCTTTCCAACCAAAAACCTTCTGTGATTCTAAGAGCTGGTCTTGGCTGTTGTGGATCTCACTTATTGTGGGTATTGGTGCCAAGATCCAGATTTTCTATTTTTGAACAGGCTCTGGCTGACATGAAATTAGTTGTCTCCATAGCAGCCCGTATGAGGCTGCATTCTGGATTTGTGACTAAGAACATTGGTTACACAGCAGTGTTTTGGCTGTTGCTGAGCAGGGTTTGCCAGCATCAAGCTTTTCTTTTTGCCCTTCCTTCTCTCCTGCATCTACTGCCAGTGAGTAGGCTGGAGGTGGGTGAGAGGCTCTGAAGGAACGCAGGGTGTCACATCTGATCCCAACTAACCACAGCAATATTCCATACCAGATGGCATTGTGCCCGGCACCAAAAGCTCTGCAAAAGAGATCAGAAAATGGGGACATTTGTGGTTATGGCATTTGTCTTCCCAAGAAACTGTTAGTGTGCCAAAACTCTGCTTGCTGTGAATTATGAATATTTTTTTGCTTTCCACGTGTAATTTCACTTTACCTGTTAAACAGCCTCTATCTCAATCTGTCTTCTCATTTTTGCCTTTACAACTTCTCTTTCCTATCCTGCTCAAGTGGAGGTGAACAAAAACAAGGTCAACCCACTGTATTCTTCTAGAAGGCCTGAGTCCTAATGGTAAAGGAATGGGAACGGAATGGGAACAACCTATGAAACATGGGGCTAAAGCTCTTGGAGTCCCATAAGAGCAGACTGGAGTTAAACTGGTGGTGAAGATAGGATGCTAAGTAATCGTGTGTAATAGACTGCAAAAGCCCTGGAGCACTGAGATGAGGTTAACTTTGGAAGCAGGCCTTCCCCCTTCCACAGGCTGGTAAGCAAGGTGAGCCTGGAGCCAGCAGTCATCTCCAGGCAGGAGGACAAGGCATGGAATTGTCAGTGCTAGAGGTGTTGCTGGATGCACACCAGTGTCACTGCACTGCATGCAGGACAAGGTGGACCTGACAGGAATACACTCTTGCTCTGAGGCAAGAGAGAATCCCAAACCATCATCTTGTTTCAACAAGCATCATTGTGCAATGTAAGCCTTCCCTAACCAAAGTTAAAGAGAGAAAGAGGAGACGACCTTGAAAATGGTAAGCCATGCCCTAAAGGAGACAGAGAGGATCATGTTTTTGAAAAACACTCTGAGTAGTAGTCAGAGCTCTTACTGCACCCCAAAAGGCAGCTGGCAGGAGGACAGGCCATCTACCACAGCTTTTCTCAGGACTTTCTTCACCTTATGAGCAAGGCTTACATCAAGGATGAAAACTGTCCCGTGTCTGTGCACTGACACACTCAGTGTATTTGTACACTCCTGTGAGAAAGCAAGTAGTCTTCCAGCTGTGATCTTTTCCAGGAATAAGGGTGACTACCCGGGAATGCCTGTGCTGGAGCCTGGCAGAGCCACTTCCCCCAGGTCAGCACCTGTTATACCAGGCTTCTGGTATCACAGCTGTGCTTCGGGGTGCATGTGGTGGTGGTGTGCATCCCTGTGCTGGAGCTACTCCCCGCATCAGGAAGGTTCAGTAATGCTCAGTTCACTGACAGGGCCTTGCAGCAACTGGGGAAATCAAAGTGGGCAACAACTGTGTGGTTAGAGGCAGCTGGAGCTGCAGTGCTTGCAAGCCTCACAGCACAGAAAATTCCACACCAGGCAGCAGAAGGGGAGTGGTGTGCTACCGGTAAAATAGATTCAGGACACAGATAAGAAAGAAGGTAAAGGGAGAAGCAAGGTGGTACCGGAGTCAAATACACTATTTTTAATGTTTTTTTTTTTTTCCCCTGAGGTTTTGAAATATTTGGAAAACCATTATCAGTGGTAAAAGTACAGCACTGAAGTTATAGTAACTCTAGAAATTTGATTCTAGACTGGTTTGATTTTGCCAAACAGACTCCAGCAGAAGGTATCTCTAACACTGCAGTGAGTTAGTTTTCCCCCTTGGGCAAACTGCCTAATTAAGCTTTGATAATAAATGAGTGCCAACAGGCTTCTGCAAACAAAGAGAAAAGCTGGTGTCACAGCTCTGGCTGTGTTTAGCACTGCTTGTGAGTGTCTCTTCATTAACTCTCCTAATTTAGGCTATCTACAAATATAAATCACTAAGTCATAAAGTAAGTTCAAAATATCACAATTAAGCCAATATGTTTTCCATAGTTTTACTGAAACTGAAAAAGTAGTTCTGTACCAAAATGTACACAGTTTAGTAATAATACAAAAAGTTAATTCTGCCAGACAGAATGTCAGTTAAATCCACCAAAATGAACACTGAGCCATCATTTATTGCCAGACCAGTGTTAAATAAAATCATTGAATGAACATAGAAACAAAGTAATTCCAAGTTTCCTTAAATAAAAATAGTAGCGATTAGCAACAATACTGCAGGAAGATAAACATTCATGGTATTTGCCATTTACAGGCCATCATAACATCTAGCATGTAGTATGTCTTCATGCTTGCACATTACATTTATGAGCTCATTACAATGGATATTAATGTGTAAATGTACTACAAAGCAATCCACCATGATGTATATCAAATCTGCACATTAGAAGAGCACCTCTACTAGTCACCCCTTTAGGAATGATGCTGCAGGAAACCCAGCCCAATCCACTGATTCCCCCCACAAAAAGTCAAACAAGAAAAGCCCACACCAACCAAACAAATAAATCATCAAGCATATTAATTATTTTCCTCCTGTGATTAGCTAGGCAGGGCTATGAATTTAGCAGTATTCCCAAAGGTGAATCAAACCAGAATAAACCTGGATTTTCTTTATTACAGTAAGAACACCTGAGACTGCTTCACTGGTCCAAGTACAGTATTTTATTACAAAAACTGCTTCTTACATTAACATGTCATTTCATTGAATCCCCTTAATTAGTACTTTTCATTGACAAAAAAGATTTCTTCTTAAAATAAATACTCGACTCAAAAGGAAATGAAAAGAAAAAAATCCCCTCCTTTCTTTTTTAAGAACAGTGTGGTTTTCTGGCTTTGCTTTATCTCAGCTTAAACGGTGGATAAACACCTATTCTTGGAGAGTAAGTGTCAAACACCTTATAAAAAATCCCCAACATAAGGTACACAATGTGTATGTATATTCCTAAAGAGACTTCTTGTTAGGTAAGTGTAAACATCTGTTCTTGACTCGTTTGTTTGAATGCACTCCTATCAAATAATGTTTGAGAAACTACATTAAATACGTGTCTGACACATAACTTTTGAAGTTACCATTTCATTTTTTCTACAAAGTAACAAAACAGTTGAAGATATTGTTCTTCCCTACTTCAGTACAGATTATATTTAACAGTTCAGAACTTTACAGATCACAAGTTTTACATAAAGGAATAACCTAAATTGTGGAGTTAAACACTGAACACTGCTTAGCTGAAGTAGCAGCAAATTAAGTACTATATACAGACAGAGATTTCTATTAAACTAATATAATTCAATTAAACTGTCTGATAGCCTAACACCTGTTTCACATGTGAACAAATTAAAACTGGGAGTTCATAAAAAGTGATTAGGCTTGCCATCACTTTAAAAAACATGCTTGTCTAACCAGAAAATAAAGATGGCAAGGACCAGTGCATTCAATCCAAGTTTACACCAACTTCTTTTGTTTTGTTACTTGAAACATACAAAGTACATTACATTACTTTTCAGTTTAGTAGTTACCAGGACCTTGTTAGGTAAAATAATCTCAACCTGTAAAAACATGACTGACTCTTTAGAAAATGATGTGTAAGAGTAAGAATTTGAAAGCCATGTTCAAGACGTCTGACAGGACTTCTTTCACAGTCTCTAACCACTGAAGAAGGTCAAGCATAACTAGTCTCAAGTCTTGATCTCTTAGTTTCTCTTACAGAGACATTATTGAGTTGAAGGCGATCTTTATTTTAAACTTCATACATTTTGGTTTTTTTTTCCTTGTGCACCTGGTCAGTTACTAGAACAATTCTTCATTTCAAAGCCATTTTAGTATTCAAGCTGCCTTTTTAGTGCAGGTTCCTTGAAGATCCTGTAGATTTATCTTTGACCTAATAAAACAGCAAGATAACTACATTAGATAGTTAAAATGTTACACTGCTCCTATGTGTTGCAATTAGTCACATAATCATTACTGGCTCTCCTGTACTTGTAAGAGGATCAAAACAGCAGAGAAATACATGAATTTTTCAATTTTTTTACCTGTTGTGGATCATGTGGCTTTTAACTAGATGTCCTGCTGCAAGAGCAGCCATTAGAGATAATTCCCCTGCCATCACTGTAGCACAAACTATTTTAGCAAGCTGACGGGCATTTTCACCAGGGTTATCTTGGCTTGCTCCTTGAACCCCTAACATCTGGAGAAAAATACAAGGCAGTATTATGCTATGAAATCTAAGTCAATTTATGATATATTTTGTATTAAAGTATTTCCAATTTATCCAATCAATGAGTCTCTTTAATATTGTAAATGTCTTAAGCTTAAATACGAAAACAATTCATTATACATTTCTAACATTTTCATGTAAAATACACCACGTTTCAAGCAGCCCCCTTCCCACAACATTGCTTGCACAATGAAAGCAATGTTTGATTTAAAAAGAGAAGTTGCTTTCAGCTTTCAGAACTATACCTGCAAACAGGCCTGCTGTGGGAGCAAGTTGGTGCCTCCACCAACAGTCCCTATTTCTATAGAAGGCATCGTGCAGCTGATGTACAGGTCTTCGTTGGTGGAACCAGTTCTCTCCATCAAAGTGATGCAGTTGGAGCTGCCCACATTCTGCGCGGCATCCTTCAGATCAAAGAGGAGAAACAACAATCCAGACACTTAAATCAGTGTTTGATTAAGAATTACTGAACTAAAGAAAATGTGAACTGGTGAAAAACAAACCTACCTGACCACAGGCAATGTAGATCGCTGTCACAATGTTTGCTGCATGTGCGTTGTAGCCACCTATGCTACCAGCCATCGCAGAACCCACCAAATTTTTGTTTATATTGACTTCAACTAGATCTTCCGTAGTCGTTTTCAATACCTGTACATGGTGATAGATACACTTTTACTACTCCTTTTCCCAGGCAGGAGTAGGAAAACTCTATTTATGGTTATTCATGGCCCTCATCCCTTGTTTGCTTCTATATGGAATTTGCCTCAGTCATTGTCCTAGATACCTTTTATTTTTGTTCCAAAGGAGACTTTCAAATATAGGATGTCCAAGTAAGAATGGAAAAATCAGTACAAAGGGTTTGGACTTGCACAGGCCTTTAAGAAAAGCTCACAGCTGAGTACTCCATTTCAAAGTCTCCCTTACATTTGGAATGGAACAAGCAAAATCGTCTTGGCAGAATTGGCAGAAATATCCCAGTAAATTTACCTTGACATGATTGTAACATTCCTGTCAAGTTGTTCCAGACACTAAACTCTTCCCACATTTGTTTTGCATACAAATATGGAGCTAAAATGAAAAGTTCCAACCCAAACCACTCTGCTACATAGGTAAATAAAAACTATGCACAGTAATATAAAATTAAGTGGCACATTTATACTATATTGACTGTATTTTGAAACTTTCAAGTAAGAGATGTATCCTAAATGTAATACAAAAATTCAAAGATAGTAAAAAGATATCATTGTTGAGCAAAATTTAAGATATTCCTGCACAGCAGGCATAGTGAGTGTTTACAGACATCTGCACCAAGTCTGCAACACTGACAAAAAATATAAGTTATGTATTAAGAGCTCAATATAAGTACATGTAGTGACATATAGGGCTGGGGTTTGAGGAAAATTTTTAGGTAAATCTGGGAAAGTTATCAATGCCCATTTTGAAAGGACTATCTCCCCATTACTACCCTGGAATGAAATCTTGAGGTTACCATAGTTATTGCCAGTGACTCAGCTACAAAATGCCAAAAATTTGAAAAACAGTAAACTACCCCAGAAGACATGAACTATGTCATGTCATGTCATGTCAATGTATAAATCCATTCCGCACACACTGTTAGAATCCTGTGTGAAACTCCGTACCCAGAATTTTAGAAACATTAGAATAGTGAGATGAAGAGATAATGATGCTCAAAGACATACTAGAAGTCTGTTTACTCATTGATGATAAAGAAACTAGTATTTTTCAGTCTGAAAATGAGACTAGCTGGGAAGGTGGAAGTACTGTGTCAGAGCTGTAAAATCTTGAGCAGTACAGTGAAGATAGAAGTCTTAAGGATCTCTCCCAGTAAAAAACTGGGGCATCATCAAATAGAATCAACATGAAGGTAATTCTCACAGAAGGTGAAGCTGGACTGTGGAATACTGCCCAAGAATACTAGTTTTAGAAGTCTACTTAGTTTCCCAGAAGGGACTGGACAAATCCCTAGGGGGAAACAAACAAAAAAAGCCCCTAACAATATGCAAACACCCACTTTTAAGATCTTAAACAAATGTTAACAATATAGTGAATTCCTCCCTAGATACTGTCTCCCACGGCAAGTGCTAAAAACCAGGTAACAGGCAATGGATTTTATCTGACACACAGAAGCTATCTTCTGAACTCAGGTGGAAGAGAATCTAAGACACTGTTATAATGGAGGACAAGCCAGCCAGAGAATACATCTGGCATTGCTTATAAAGGTTACCGTTGGTCATGCAAGATGCCTAGACAGCTTTGGAGTAAGTAAACCACCTGATTATCTGTTTCCATTGTAGTAGGAAGCATATAAATACTGAAGAGAAAGCCAGATGGATGTGAGTGAAGAAATGAATGAGAGTTAAAACACTGGGTTTAATGACAGACAAAACACCACATGTAAATGTCTGTCAATATGTGGCATAATTTTTCAAAAGTAAACCATGAAAATCCTAATGCCTTTAACTAGGTATGCATCATTAAACACATACCCGTTATTTCACACTAGACACAATGAAAAAGTGTCTGCTGACTCAGAGAAATGGCTTATCCTACAAAAGTACAGAAGAATCCTTACCTGGAAAACAACTTTCTGTTCATACTTGCAACATAAAGTAAGCACCTGTTTTACAAAATGTATGTATTTTTATAAAGGAGAGCAGACACTTACTTCTCTAACAACCTTAGCTGGAATGACGGCTTCACAGACAACAGATTTTCCTCTTCCTTCTATCCAGTTTATAGCAGCAGGTTTTTTGTCTGTACAGTAGTTACCACTGATTGCTATAACTTGAAGGTCAGGAAACTCTTCATTCAGCCTCGCCAGTGCCTTTTCAGTACCCTGTTAGAGAGAAGCAAGTTTATCATTATAGGTGTAAAACAAGCTATTCAAAGACAGTGGAAATTACAGTGTAAGAAAAGAACACAGTATCAAGAAACAAGAAACAGGATGGAAAACCCCAAACAATTATAACTATGTTTTTTCTAACCGCTTTGGGAATTATATTGGGTAATAACTCTTTTTCCCTAGTACACATAGACTCCCTGGATCCATTCTAGGTGCATGGACATAGGGTTAGCATACTGAAGATACAACAGGAACCAACTGAAACATTGCAGACATGGAATAAATTAATTTTGGATGTAGTGGAAAGAGCTTCTCTACACCAGGAAATCAGACTAGAAAATCTGCTATATCAGGACTTGTCTATGATCAGATCCACTTTTATAAGGGTTCTGACCACCTATTCTATATGAAGTTTAAGTCTGAGACTATACATTTCCTACAGCATAAGGCATTCCCAGCAATCTAAAGATCACATCTCAAGTTCTTCCACATGTTTGCATAAAAACAAACAAAACTAGAGAACACCTCTCCCGCTGCTACTCCTACTTCTTTATTTACTAGGAAATGATAAGCACAATAACAGAATAATTATTGCTGAATAAAATCTTTGGCTCAAAGCAACAGTGCAACCAGCTTAGCTTCTCCTATTATCAAAAATATTTTCTTTAAATAATTATCAAAAATCAAAAATATCAAAATAAAAAATTACTTTTTTCTTTCATCATACTATTATTGTCTACACTTGACAAAATCAAACATTTTTATTATTTTGTGCAAAGAGGACTGTGTCTTATCTTTCTGTCATTCAGATTTCAGGTAGTCACAGGTTATTGGGCTATCTTTATTTTTAAAAAGCAATATCCATTCTTTAAAAATACTTAAGGGGACTGGTCCTTACTTTTGAAATCATGTTCATTCCCATTGCATCCCCTGTTCCAGACTGAAAACGGATATAAAGGTTACGACCAGCCAAACTGATGAGAAGTTTTTGTAGGCGGGCAAACCTGCAAGAAAATGTAACTATTACTTACAATCCTCATGGGAAAATTAGATTTAAGTGGCAAAATGACAGTAAATCTTTGCAAATTGCATTGCTAAATACAGAACCATAGATTCCTTTACAAATCCTTTGGAAAATACCTGCAAGATTAACGAGCCCAGTCTTTGACAGACAGTCATCTTTTCAGTAGGACCACAGCACCAAGTGCTACATCCAGTCATTTCTTGAACAATTCCAGGTATGGTATTTTCTTGAATAAGCACTTTAAAAATATTCACTGTAAAAGCGTTCACTGCCTTTTTATGTTTTCTATCCCCGAACTTCAAGAAATTAAGTATCCTGAACTGCTAACATAAATTTTATTAATTTGTATTCCTTAAAACATCTCACTACCAGATACAAAGTAATAATGAGGCCTTTGGAAATTCTGATACAAGTTTTACAGCAAGGCAAAAAGCATGCTATCTTCAACAGTGTAAGCTGCACAAGTCACTGAAAACACAGAAAATACTGCATTTAAAGACCAGCATGAGCTGATTCTGGCCAAAATACAGATGTATCTTTGGCTGACACTTGTTTAGAAACACAACAGGCAAGGAAATTCTCTCTGAATCTTCGTAAAGCTAGAAGGTAATCATAAGCCCTAGAGAAAACTCTAGGGCTGTTTTTAATTTTTTTAGCATTTCAGTTCTAGCATTAGTTTACATTGTATTCTCTGAGACCTCATAGACTAATTATTAATATTAATAATATCACCTGAAAGGCTAAAGACCAAACTTTAAAACGGTTTATTGCTGGCCTTGGTACACAGCCAAAGTGACTTTTGTCCTCTTAGATACTCACAACATGGGATGTGATTTCCTCTATTGAATACTCCAAAACACAACTGAGATCTTTCTACCATCCACAGAAGTCTTATGTCTGGAAATGAAGCTAGAACAGTCATTGTACTAACCTACTTGTGCTGTCAAAAGCTTCCTTCATTATTTTAAAACCTTCAGGGCTTTCAAGCCAGACTTTGACCTCTGCAGCTTGGCAAGCAGTGGGTAACCTTACAACAGGTCCTCGAGTCATCCCATCTGCCAGAATGCGGCTACTTGCTCCTCCACCAAGCTAAAAACCAAAGCAGATGGGGGACAATATAAGATTACTGAAATTTTGTTTTTCAAGAAGTCAAAAATATGCATTATATAAACCTGAATATGTGCAAGTTTATATAATGCTTATTCGTATGCATTATGTTTATGTGTTTATACAACAGGAAGTTTTTTAGCTTTTCAAGTCATACAGTACTTACACATATTGCTCTACATCCTCTGTTTGTGCTTGCTACAAGACATCCTTCTGTTGTTGCCATTGGCACCTGAAACTCTTTGTTATCCAGAAACAGCGGTCCTGCTACGCCTACAGGAATAGGCATATATCCAATCACATTTTCACAGCAAGCTCCCATCACCTTACAGAAATAATAAAAAAAAAATCACTAAGGTTATTCTCCAGTGGTACAGTATAGCATGCTACATACTATGCCTGTGACTACACCAAGGCAGTGGTGCACTTAGTAAAAAACCCACAAATTTACCTATAAAGCAACTCATTGCCACCTCAAAAAGTTAACAGCTACAGCTATCAACAGCTAACATTATTCAACATTAGGCAGATGTATTGAATCCTGTACAGTAATACATGTTACTTAAACAACACCAAAATTTTAAAATTAATTTTAAATAATTTTCAATTTTAACTTGAGCTCAAGGTCATATTATTCAGCTGAACTGTGGCTCAGTATTAGCAGAGCTCTGCATTTCTTAGATAAGTCAGCTGCAAACTTTGATAGGAAATATTTTTTTGATAACTTACAGAACTCACACACTGCCCTAAGTTTAAAAATATCAAGACCAATTAAAGGTGGTGCCTTATATTTGCCTTTTATTTTTCTCCCTCTACACCAGTTTTGACCAAGCTCATTGTTAACTCACATACATGACTATGGATTTATTTCACAGAACCATAGACTTGTTTGGGTTGGAAGGGACCATAAAGACCGTCTAGTTCCAATGCCCCTGCCAAGGACACAGACACCTTTCACTAGACCAGGTTAGTCAGAGCCCCATCCAACCTGGCCTTGAACACTTCCAGGGATGGGACATCCACAGCTTCTCTGGGCAACCTGTCCCAGTGTCTCACCACAGTCACAGTGAAGAATTTCTTCCTAACACCTAAATCTGCCCTTCCTCAGCTTTAGGCTGTTCCCCCTTTTCTTTCAATACATGTCCTTGTGCAAAGTTCCTCTCCTGCTCTCTTGTAAGCCCCCTTCAGGTACTGGAAAGTCCTATAAGGTTTTCCCAAAGCTTCCTTTTCCAGGATGAAAAACCCCAACTCTGTCTGCATGTCCTCACAGGTGAGGTATTACAAGCCCCTGATCAACTCAGTGCCTCCTCTGAACTCGTTCCAACAGGACCATATTTTCCATCTTCATCTGTTTGGAAAACAGTTTTACAGTGAGTTCTGCTTGTCTACTTTGTACTTACCAAAGAATAATTATAATTCCTGTAAGGAAGATACTGCAAAGATGAAGGTTCAGGAAGTTTCTTAGATAACATCTGTCTGCGAATGGATACACCTCGCTCCTGGGTTTCCATCAGGGTTTCCAGTTTGTATGCAGGAATATGCTTAGCATTAACTAAACTGATAACCTCAGCATCAGTAAGAAATTTTGCTCCTTCCTGGAAACACAAAGAGTAGAGAGTGAAAATACAGACTGTCCTGGTGAAAATCCTTTAAAATCTTTCCCAAAGAAAAAGAGTAACAACTTTGCTAAAGGAGTCAACTGCCAATGTCAGGTTTTACAGCAGGCCAACATATGATCAAAAACTTTCATGATCAGACACCCACTTGTGCATGTACATGATGAAACTCCAAAGATTTCGTGTGTTATGAATGATGAAGCTGATCCCTCCTCCCACCCTTCTCGACTGACCTGAGAAGTACTCATTAAAGGGTTTTGCTTTAGTTGTGAACTCTGTACCCCCACATGTTATTAAAGCCATGTAGTTTTCTGAAGGCTGATACTACAACCAATGGGATTATCTAAAAGCTGGGAAAAGAACTATAACAATTCTTAAATCAGATGTTGCCTTAGAGATTAAACTAAAAAATTATTTTTCCATACCTGTGCATTTCCAAGTATACGAACACATTCCTCAATAGAACGTGGTTCTTTAGGTAACTCAATCTCTTCCTCCTTTCCACTGGGATTTGAAAAAGTTTCCACAGGGCTGGAATTGCCAACCACAAATGTAGCCTTGGTTGATGACTCTGCTAATACAGGTTTTATGACTTCAGCTGCACAAAGATAATCAAAATTAACTCCAGTTCACAAAATGATGAAGTTCTGATACCAAATATAATATGCTACCAAAGATTGCAAAATTTGTTCCAAATACTCATTAATAGGTCCAGACTTAAGAGCTTAAGACTTAAAAATTACCTACCACTTTCATCTTTGGCAATGAAAGCTTCTTCTGCTGTGTTAGATTTCTGATTGTTTTTCAGAAGTCCAGTCTGCTTCCTGCAACAATTTTCAGGGACCTTTTTCTGTACCATCACAGGAGATGTTATGGGATTCTTCAATGAGAGAGTAGATTCAGTCTCTGCTTGCTCAAAGAAAATATATTTGACAGCAAGGAGAAGGGCTAATCCAAGCGTAATTACTTGCTCAATATCCATACTGGCCATTCTAAAAAAAATTTAAAATATAAATATAGTAAATATACTGTATATACAATTTGTTGCTTATAACAATATTCTGACACTTCTTGCTTCAGAAAGGGTAGTAATTCCATCATCACTTATAGTTGCAGAAATTCCAGTCAAAAGGTATGTTCTATCAGGAGCTAGGCTAGGGTGGAAAAATTCTTCATACTGTTATCAACACAAAAATCTTCAGATGTCATTAAATAGTTAGCTAAATCTGGCTAAAAAGCAGCCCCATTATGAAAAATTATTATAAAAGATTCACTGATAGTTACATCAAATTGATTTGACACCTGTCCCAATGACAAGACAAAGTTTCATTTATCATCCTCTACCAATTACTGTGATGCAAGATGAACTGCTAAGAGGGGACAAAAATCCCCTGCATAAACCAGAAAGTTCTGAGTTCTCAGAAATAACGTGAAACTACAGGTGACACTAACTTGAATTGAGCTGAAGGAAAAGCCATAGCACAAAATGGGTTTTGCACCTTTTGCTCTATGGGGTGAATGGTCAGAACCTCTGTGTAAATAATTACTCTAGCACAGTCTTAAAATTATTTCCCAGTATGCTGTGAAAGATGCTAGTGGGAAAGACAATATTTTGATGTATACAGGACAGCTAGCTCTTGATCATGTTCTTGACTACTTCAAGGCCTTGGACAAATGGCATAATATTGACATTTTTTCTGAAATGTCACCTCTGGTTCCAAGAAGTCCTATAGTGGTCAGATCTGCAAGTCTACAAGTACAGTGATCTAGGACAACAAGCTTCTAGCTTGGCAGCAATAGAAATAAAGCAGGATCACACTTCTGTGAAGCCACCTACCGAGAAAGGTAAAACTGCCACAGTGAAACATTAGGTTCAATTCTCTTTGGTGCATTCTCATCCAATCCCACCGAATTTTCAACAGTACTGTTTTGAGCAGCTGGTTCTGCTATCCAACGACTATGGGCGTGAACAAGAACCAAACCCAGTGACTGTATCAAAAACACAAAACAAATATTAATGTTTCAAATGTTACTTGGTATGTAACCTACTAAGTGTAAGTATTGTCCTCTTTTAGTATGGGGTTTTTTTGCTGTTTTTTCCCCACACTTCCCACGCCTCTGAAGTCTAAAAGCCGATTTTCCACACTTCTAATTTACCCCCTTTTTGGCCCACTCTGAAACCCTTGTATAGTAGCTTTGGATGTATCCCACACACATTTTTAGTCTCAATCAAGAAAGAAGCAAAGGAAGCTGAGGGTACTGCAGGGGTACCCTCAGAGAGAGGGGATTAGTACACATGAAAGAGCCCTGAGTGCTTGGCACAGAAATGGCATAGGGAGGAAAATGACAGGTGTAGATACAGGAGAATTAAAAACTACCACTGTAAGTCCAACTAATGGGCTGCAGAATACAAGTCTATAGGAAGCAAAAGCCTGACTTTTGCACCAGGACACCTCACTATTTGCATAACCACAGGTGAAAAAGCCACAAACCATAATCATTTTGACCCTCTGTGTTACAGGATTTGGTTTATTCTCTTCTTCTTCCAGAACACGAGCAAAATGACTAAGCTGCCATATAGGGCGTCCTTCACGACTCTCTCTTGAAAGCTGCAAAAAAATAACGAAACTTAAAAATAGGTCATAAATAGTACCTATTAGAAAAACCAACAAATAAGATTCCACATTGCATTTTCACTTGATCATTGAGAAATTACCAGGAGTCTATAGGTAGACTTTCAATTGTGAAAAACCCTGGACAGACAGTAAGTTACAGTATCATCTGTTTACTCTGCTTTAGATCAGAACTACTACTGAGTTTGACTCATTTACAGTGATATTTACAAGTTACTGTCACCAGTTTACTTTGAAAGGAAGATGAATGTGCTGGCATGTAACTCCATGATGAAAAGCATAGCCTACAGAAGCACAGGGCAGAATACTAAACTTGAGATTGTCTTGAAGTTGGTCTTACCTCTAATACCAAGGACACACAAGCTGGAAAGAAGGTCATGAAGACAAAGTAGTTGGCAAGAACAGACATACAGCCAAAGCAGCACATAATTTCAAGCTGTCGTACACCTAAATAAAAAGACAGTTTTTAAATTTGAATATGCAATTAGCTGTAATTGAAGAAGTGCTGCAGAACTGGGAAAGAAATCATTAAGCTGACATTACAGATTACAGAAGGAACTATTGAGATTAATTAAAAACAAGCATCTTAAACTCTACTCATTGTGCACTGGCCTATTCTAAGCACAGTACGTATATATGTATTGACAGAAAAGTATTTTAAGGTGCAATTCTAAGTGAATACAAATAAAGTTCACCAAGATTTTAAAACTTCACAATGAAAGCTTGAAACCCCTTATTTATTTGAGGGAAAAAAAAAATCAGCCAACATTATGCATTGAACTCCCTTTTCAAAGATGCGATGCTCCTGGAAGAAGTAACAGTATACACTCCACCTACTCCTTCACAAGTACCAGAAGAAGCCGTGTTAGTCATACTAACATATGCATACTGCACATGCATTACACAACTGCCTTGGTAAGGATGAAAGCTCTACCAGTATAAATTATTTTAAAAAAACCTATATGCAACACTAAAATGAGTTTTTGTCCCTAAGATATAAAGAAGGAAACAGCTTATTAATACAGAATACCCTGGAAGAACCAAAATTATTTGAAGAGCAAGTGCTCTGGAAGATGCCATTAAGGTATGCAATATAGTTAGAAAAAAGTCCAAACCAAATGTTAGGAAAAGTCACTGCACAGAAGTTCATTCCTACTACACAGTGCTCAAGGAAAGCCATTATTTGTATTTCGAACTTTGGTTCAACATGTACGTATTATTTATATTTGCAAGAATCCAGTAAAATAAGCTAATTAGGAGACAGATAAATAAAGTCATTCCACTCTCATGGGTAACACCTACTATTTGAAACTCTCCAAATCCTAATAAAAAGCCTTTTTTAACCTGAAATATTTAGACCCTTAGACTGTATGGCTCACCTGACATGGTACCAACACCAATTACAAGACACTCCACAAGTGCATCCAGGGTAAATGTAGGGCCTAATATTGCCATCCCACGTGAAATATTTTCTCTTACTTCATCCTAAAAAGAAAAATTTCTGTCCATTACCATGAAGACAAAAACCAAATTAAGTTAGACAAGATTACTAAACTGAGGAGTAGTATGGTGGTAAAGCCTTGTAAAACATTTACTGAAAATGAACTATTATGAGAAAGCATACAGAGACTGTATTCTACTTCCTCTAACTTATTATACTTTCACAATCTGTTGACACAAAATTATTTAATTTTGATTAATTTCTCTACCTTTGCTTCATCAGTATTCTAAGCTTCTACAACACTGATAGGCAGAGACACTAATTACAATAAATTCAAAAGAACAACACTTCTGAATTTGAAGACATGAAATAGAAGGCACTTGTATAATGGCCTTTCAAAATTTCTTACAATCACATATCTTTATTTTAGCTTTACTTTTACTTTAGTGTTTTATATTTTACTCTGTAGACTCGGCTGATAGAAAAGAGGTCAAAAAAGGCACAAAAACTTTCTGCTGGGGAAAAACGGATTTCCTCCAGAAAGCAGGCATGATACACTCCAGAGTTTGCTACAGTTTTCCTGATGATGATATTTTTGGGGCAGAAGAGGGAAAAAAAAAACTGTACAGGAAACCTATTTGTAAGTTATTTCCTTGAAAATTAGTAAAAAATTCTGTACTTGCAGTTATCATAAAATAGTACAGAACACATTATATTGCATGTATAGAAACCATACAGTGCAATATACACGAAATTAAAATATAATAGGTAATATTTTGTCACAGTTAGTATGCGCAAATGCCATGTTCAGTATTTTGTAAGTACAAATTAATCCCACTCAATATACTTTTATTTCAGAATTCGGACTATTAGGAAACAAACATTACCACGTACGACAAGCAAGATGTCCTGTCAATCTTTCCTAGTGTGTTGTGTTAAATGTATTAGAGCATGGATGTTCCAGTCTGCACATATGCTACATTCATTCTGCTAACATTTGTCCTAGAAATATGCTTTTGTCAGTAGCAACGCTAATATTTGATGTGTCTTTATATACTGTGCCTGAGTCCTAGATATTAACTTTTTTTCTGTCAATAACTGTTTTAAGGAAGACTGTCTAGAAGCTCTAGCGTCCTTGGAAGAGCTGTAAGCATTTCTAGTTTAAAGTTCGAATTTAATGAAGCCATGCTCATATATACAATTAACAGTGTACACAGCTGTGCACACTAGTTTTACTATATCACTCTTTACTTGAACAGTGATCTGGCTTGAAGATAATCTGTCTCGAATCCAATCCTTTTGTTATTTATGTATCCCCAAGACAATATTTGCCTGTATGTCTCTCCACCTGGATTACTCATACAATTTATGAAACTGCTTCTCCTGAAGAGGGCCTTAAAGCTCACCTAGGTTCGAATCCCCTACCGTGAGCCAATGTCCAATTCTGAACATTAAATTAAAAATCTGCATTGCAAGACAAACAAAAAACCCAAAGTAAAACACCAACCAACACAAAAATCCTCCATAATAACTCCTCTGACCTGTGAGTTGGAACTGAGCGCAAATTTAGCTAGTGCACTTGCTCTTGACAAATCAATCAGAAGCAGGAAGAATGGTAAAGCTTCGCTGAAAAAAAAAAAAAAAGGCATATGTTAAAATTCAAGGTTTATGGTACAGGAAAAAAAATGTAAGCATGAAATTCAGAATAACAATTCATTACTTACTTTAAACCTGTCAGTTCTTTATCCAAGAAGTGAATTACCACTGTACTAAAAACAAAACTTGAGAAGATTGTGAAGAGGCCAGCAATACCTTAAAAAAAAAAAAGAGAATGGGATGTTTTTTTGTGTATATATACTGGAATACAAAAAGGAAAAAAAACCAAAATGCCCCCACTTTTAGAACAATCATAACAACTGAGAATTCCTCTCGGTGCATTAACAGCAGTTGAGATACAAACTGAAGTAGATGCTATTTTTGTAGATACTAAAATCAAAAATTTGTAACGCAAAGTAAGACTCAGAAATAAAAGCCATAAATCTCTATTTATTTTAAATAAAATTAAAACTGGCTTAAACAGCTCATAATTTTAAATATTTCATACAATAAACAGTTATTTCAAGAATGACATTTTCAGTGTTTGTATAATCCTACACAGCCTTTCACTAAATATAAGGCATTTTGATACATGCTAAACATTTTTTCTGCTATCTAGAAAATAATTAAAATAATGCTGTTGTGATTGTAAGGATTAAAAGGTTAGTATTTTTTACCAATTTATGTAAACCACCCACCCCAATTAAAACACATTCAGCAAATACAAAAATCAGATACAATACCTAAAATATATTTTGATCCAAGCTGTCTTAGGTTCTGAAACTGGAAATATATATAAAGAATTGCTATGCAGCGTGTGATTGTCAGGATGATGATGTCACTGCTTAGAACATCCTGTATGAAATACAAAGCAATTTAGTTAGCTTTTACACTAAGGAATAACTTGTTAAGTTTCAGTAATAAAAAAATCCATTGTGAAGCTGCATTAAAAGTGAAGTTCCAGAATATAATAAATATCACTCCTAGTCTTGCTGTAAAAACTAAAATACTAAAATACTTGGTCATTTCTGCATCACTGTTTACATACAGCTTTAATATCCAAAATGAGAAAAAGGCCGCAAAGAAGCTTCTGCATGGCTACTTCACTTCTAATGCATCACAGCTTAATCATATTCTATAGAAAACCCTGTATCTACTGATTAACAGCAAGTACTATAGAATCAATTTAAATTCTTACTTCTTCAAGTTTGGGGCATTCATAATTCCAGCCACAGATCTTATCATTCCCAGTGAACATCTTCATAGACATCATGCAGATAGTGAGAGTCACTGTTCCCACAATGACTTCCCATGGATGAGAGGCCACGAAAAGGCCATGCATTCGGAAGAGTCTGGACAGCATTTTCAAGCCTGTTTTTCTATATTTAGCAAACCTGCAACAAAGGAATATTTTATATAAGTACAAGATTTGCTGAAAAAAGACAGCACTTACACTTTCCTGAAGGATGAAGACATCCTTCAGGAAATAAAAGCAAAACCACTTAAGTCAGAGATGAGTAAGTAAACTAATATTTACCTTTCCTTCAATCTTCCATGTAAAACACATCTATTTCTAATATTCCAAAATATTATATGATCTGCTCCTGTCTTCTCAATCTTTTTTTTTTTTTTTTTTGTAATACACATCATCCTGGTTTCTTCATGGTTTTTGCCACTGGGATTAGGCCATCCATTTGAGTACGGCACTAATAATGTCAAAGTTGAGGGTTCAATCCCAATATACACCATTGACTTAACAGCTGAAGTCAATGACTTTTGTGGGTCCCTTCAAACCAGAAGATTCCGTGATTCTAATAGTAAGGCTACTTTAATACTCTCCCAAGATCTCTCAACATCTTCCTATCATATAATTTTGATACTGCTTTGACTCCAAATGCTTGTTTTTACCACCTATGTAAGCACTCACCAAATTCTGTAATTTCTCTGTACTCATTCTTCCTGCCAAAAATTCTATAAAATGAGCCATAAAAATTATCCATTAACCATTACTGGTAATGCTCAACAGCAGGAATTGCAATGTTATACTTCTGACGTGTCTTCTCTACTTTTTGTTCAATATTATTCTGTGATACAAACTAGTTACATTCAAAAATATTCCTTCTTCATCTAAAGCATGCAAATCCTCACATAACAATATTGTGGCAGTTCTCTTCTACATTTTACTATTCCCTGGTTACTGGTGCATTTCATCATCCCTTTGCTTCCAACAGGTAACAAACGTTTACCAGAAATTTGCACAGCTGTCTTTCACATAACTAACAACATGAATGTTCAACACATCCTTTAACCACATCCTGGTCTATCTGCTCTGTGTTGTATGTTCATGCAAGTTTATCAGAGATCCTTACTTGTGTTTTATGGCATAGAAACAAAATGACATAACAGTCTATCTTACGTACATTAGGAACTGGACTTTCCTTTACTCACTGCACAAAACCAACACCTTATAAAACTGTACTGTAAAGTTAAAAAAATGCTTAATAGCCTGGCTAACAGGGACAATCTGTAATTTACATGTACCGATCTAGCACTGCAAGATTTCCATGGAGGCCTGAAGGTTCTACATACTACTACTTCAAAGTGGATTAAAAAAATCCCTTTGTGTTGTCCTAAATGTAACAATCCATCCATAAGGCTTCTAGTATTATTTCTTTTGCTTGGACAACAAAAATGAAGCTGACATTCAATAGAGAAAATAATAGACCGGCAAATCTATCTGCCTAAGTGCTCCTAAAGATACCAGAATCATCTTGGTTTCCTACCAATACCAATCCGAATCACATTAGCAACAAGAGCAATTATTTATTTTTCTTTATCCTTCCACAGTGAAGGTGTGGCAGGATGTTTGTGGCTCATGGAACCAAATTGGGAAAGTAATTGAGAAGATTGCCTTTTTTATGAGCAAATTATTTCATTTCCTGATTGAATGATTTTTAAAAATAAAATTAAAAAACAAACCCCTCCTTTTAAAGCTAATATTATCCCCTTTTTTTTCCCCTATAACATATAATCATCATTCTGTTCTGTAAATTTATGTTCTTGCAAAGCTGTTCCACACTGGTATTATCACTTCTCCTCAGCACAATGGAAGGTATCTTTTAATTAGGAAAACTAAAATAAAACCCAGAAAGAAGAATACCTGTGCTGAAGATTTTGAAACAATACAAAAAAATCGAAAAGGTATCCCATCATCCTCTAAAAACACAAATAATTTTGAATACCACTCTATTTCAGGAAAATCATAACTAGCAGTTACTACATGACTTTACAGAGTTCTACCAGTCCTGAACCCAGTAATACTGCTAATACAACTACTTCAGCAAGTTGGAATGACTATCTGACAATCAAAAAAACAATTAGGAGGGCAAGGAAGGTTTTAAAATCTTGTATTGAGAAATTGTTTTTCCCATTTCTAAGCAAAAATGGTAAAAATGGCTTCACATAGTCAACTGGGGGGAAATGCATTCATTCACTGATTAAAATAATGATCCACAGGATCTTACTCATATTATTAACTGCTGCTATCCTGAGATACAGGATGCCTCATCACACATCTTGGGGTTAACTGAGTGATACTAAGTCCTAACCTCAAAGTATTCTTTAAAGTTTTTGCGCTTATTTAACCTGCCCCAAAAAAAAAAAAAAAGGATAGTTTTTTGCTACACAGTTCACTCTTCTGGAAAATATTGATGATTTCACACACTGATTCTGCATTAGAGTGTTGGAAAAAAATTTCAATACATAACATCAGCTGATATTTCTGATTAAAATATTTATATACAGACACTGACTTGTACCTTGGAAATAGCGAGACATAACATTAAATATAAAGCTAAAATTTAACATTTATGTAATTCTGTAGAGTTTCAAAATGGTGGCTCTGAAGGGATGCTTTATAAATACTGTTTGTTTTCAATCAAAAATTTCTACGAGGTTAGAAAATAAAGCAATCCATTTTGGAAATCAAAACAGAATGTAAAATACGAATAAATCCCAAATGTGATCCCTTCAAATATTAACCAGAACGGAAAAAGCAAACTGGACCGGTTGTACGTAATCGTTTACAGCAATCACCATCCACGTAACAGTACGACTTGCCTCTTAAATTCTTAAGGTTTGTTACACAGCTCTCATGAACCTCAATCCTCTGCAACACCATCTATTAGATCAGCACTAATTTCCCATCTCCTGCTTTCTGACTCAGCAATACCGACAGGAATCAAGCGGCGATAACAGCCGAGCGAAAACCTGTGCGGAGCTCACCCTGAACGCACACAACAGCGCAAGGACCCCGACACACTGCCAGGGAGGCATTTTCTCCGGGCAGGGGGAAGTCCTCTCCCAGCCCCCCGCAGGCCCAGCGCTGCAGCCCCCGCGCGAACCGCGGGGAGGGAGCTCAGCCCTGCAGCACAAGGTAACGGGACGGCCACACGGGCATCCCCCGCACGCCACCCCGGGCGGCGGTGAAGCGGGGAGGCCGCCACTCCCTACGCGCGGCGATGGCGACGCCACCTTTCCGAACAGGCACTCGGGGCCCGAAGCCGGGACTCGCCCGCCGAGAACGGCGGTCGCGTGTTGCCAGTCGTACGTCCCCCCGCCCGCAACCCCACCGGTCCCCAGCCCCCAGTCCTCGCTTACCACCGCGCTCCAGCCGCGCTCCCCGCTCCGTCCCGCCGCACCCCGGACTGCACCGGCAACCCCTCTCCGTCCCGCCGGCCCCGCCCCGTCGCGCAAGGACACGCCGGCGCCGCCATCGCCCGATCGCGCGGCCAATGGCGAGCGCGCGGCACGCCCCGCCGGCTCGCGTCAGCTGCCGAGTCGCCGCGGCAACGGCCCGGCGAGCGCCGCGCGGCCCCCGCGCCATCGGCAGCGGAGAACACGCCATCGCGCCATGGGCCGCCCGCCAATGGGACGCCGCGCTCCCCGCCCCGCAGCCGCTGATTGGGCGGCGGAAGCCGCTCCTTTGCATGCGCTGATGGAGCGCTGCCGCCGCCTCCCGCGCCCGCCCCGGGCCGTGCTGAGGGCGCGCCGCGCTGCTGCGCTCGGGTTTGGGCTGCGGCTGGGGAGAGCTCTGCTGCGCGCCTCCGATACCGCCCGGTGATACCGCGCTTTGCCCACCGTTAAAAGCGTGGAAATTCCCAGTTCCTGCCTGTGGGAGGCAGCGATGCCCCTGACTCCTGGGGAGAGGGGGAGGAGGGAAGGCAAAGGCAAAGTAATATATGAATTTGTGGCTTTCGACCAGAGAGGAAGTGCAATTTTTGGTTCATGAAGCACAGGAAGCTCTGAGAGCCCCACCAGGACGTGTTCCTGTGTAACTTGTGCTAGGTGATCTTTAGATGATCTGAGGGCCCCTTCCATCCCTAGCGATCGTGGCTCCGAGTCACACGGCTGCAAAACAGCACTGCGGGATGGCAGGGCCGTTCCGTGTCTCTGGGGCTGAGCATGGTCAACTGCAATACAAATACCTGCAGCGGTTTTTGCACTGGATGATCGGCGTCTCGGCTTTCCCCAAACTGCATCTTACATGTGCTACCTCACTTGAAAGTATTTCCAGTAGCTCCACATGGTACTGTGCCGTGAAGCATTAATGTGATCCTCCAAAAAGGAAGTGCTGATGAAATCGTCTTCGAAGAACTCCACCCAAAGTAGTTGTTTTGGGTGATGAAATCGTGCCAGCTCAATCTTTTAACATGTAAATACACTTTGCATTCTCATCTTCGATATGATGTTTATAAATCTTAATAATTTGCTGCTGCATATCCATCTCCTCTAATAGCTTGTTTCTTAACAGTAGTGCATTTTTTCAGTATCTCACCTTCATTAGCTCAAAATCGTGAAGTATTAGCAGTGAGATTTCCGGACTCATTTGCTAATATGTGCAGCAATTGCTGTAACTGCATATGCATACGACTAAGACAAAGCAAAAAAAGCAATCCATACAGTATCAACAATTATATGTAATTCACATATCATTTAAGATGACCTTTAGTATCTCTGCTCTGTTTTCCACTTTTTCCATGGACATGATTTGGCAAATACTAAAAATGCTAATCTATCAAGGTTACTGGAGCAGGAGTCATGGTCATTTGGGGTCTGTAGTCTCTGCACATACATGACACTAGGTGCACTGACCCTGAGTTCTCGCATCTGCAGCTCTGGCGGTGGCCTGCCTGCAGCCTGGCCGTGCTCAGAGTGGCCTTGAGGTCAGCACTGCCCCACTGCCCGGGAGATGGCAGGCAAAGCTGAGCCAGAACGGCTCTCCCTGAGGAAAACGTTGTAATTAACAGGCGACCACTGAAGAGGGCTACTCCAAATGCTGAAAATACTGTCAACTAATAATGTCGTTATTTCAACCTGTTCCCACTCATGAGCTCATGAACCGTTCATTGGTAGCAACTTAACCATGGCAGAGAAGTGTTGCCAATTTAGGGACTCTAAAAGAGCCTTATTTAGAAAGGAGACATTGTTTATTCCGTGCAGGATGCAAGGCGGAGTTCTCCACAAATAAAGCACAAATCTTTGGAACTTTGCACTATATATATGTTTTAGCAAACAAAGAAATCACAGTTCATTGGATACAAGTCACTTAGTTCTCTTAGTATTTTACATACTGTTGGTTGAATTGTTCTCTTGTTTCTCATGCTAATGTGTTTGCATGCTTACCCATTCTCAAGTAGGTGGGTTTCTTGAGATGGTCCCTGAGTTACTGGTCTAAGTCTCTCACTTTGAGACTTAAGAGCCAGTGAATTGGCACCGATCCATTTCATACAAACAGCACAGGAACCTGTGGATCCAGCCAGGTGGCAAGAGGCACAGCAGGAGCTAACAACTCAACAGGAACTTTTTGTTGGAGGACCTGTAGTGATAGGACAAGGAGTAATATGTACAAATTGATGGAAGGGGAATTTAGGTTAGGTATTAGGAAGAAATAGTTCCTGTGAAGGTGGTGAGACATTGGAACAGGTTGCCCAGGGAGGCTATGGATGCTCCAACCCTGGCTGTGTTCAAAGCCAGGCTGGACAAGGCCTTGAGCAACCCAGTCTAGTGGAAGGTGTCCTTGCCCTTGGCAGAGGGGTGTGGGCCTAAATGAATTTTAAGGTCCCTTCAACCCCTTAACATTCTTTGATTCGAAGACCCCAGACTATGGAGTCAAAGCCCAAGTAATCCTTCATTCAGGGTCCCCCCTTTTGAAGCTGTCTGGCCTTTTTCACAAATAAAACACTGTTTCACAACCCCCTTCTCACTCTTCTGTAACTCTCCGGGCAGATGACCGTCTGACTCTTGAGATGGCTGCGTCAGGAGCGCAGAGAAGCGCACGAAGCCGGAGCAGCGGGCCCATCGGAGCCCACACAGCACGGTGTTTGTTGGCACCGCGGCTCTGCTGAGCGCTGCGAGCCCGGCGCCGCGCGAGGGGCAGCCAGGCCCGGCCACAAGATGGCGGCCGCCGCTGAGGGGGGCGCGCGCTGCTGCCCGAGGGGGCTCCGGCGGAGCGGAGCGGCCGCACCATGGAGCGCCAGGGCAGCGGCGGCCACAGCGACACCGACACGGACAGCGGCGACGAGACTGTCGTGGAGGGCTCTGTGGCGGAGAGTGATGTGGAGGAAGAGGAGTTCCGTAGGAAGAGGTGGTAATGCGGTGTGGCTGCGAGCGGCACCTGCCCACCTGCCTGTGTGAGGGCGGCGGCGGCTGAGGGGGCCGCTCCAGAGCTGAGAGTTTTTTTCTTTTCTTTTCTTTCCTTTCCTTTTTTTTTTTTTTTTTTAATTTTGTTATTTTCATTGTTTTTGTTTTGTTTTGCTTATTTTGTTTTGTTTTTGTTTTTATCAGCTCTGCTCAGAGCCGTTTTATATGCTCCGAGACCCAGTATTATTAGCCCTGCAAAAAACTCCGTTTATTTTCAGACACCTTGTGTGCCTCGGAGCTTATGCCTCCGGACCCACCATTTTAGTAACATTTTAGTCAGCAGAAGTTAAATGCCCCAGGAAACAACTCGGAGAAAATAAACACTTGTTAAATACAGTTCGTGCTAATTCTATTTCCCTGCAACTTTGCCTTGATGTCGTTTTCATTACATAATCTCTTGTATCCTTTAAGATATAAGCAAGGATTTGAAACCACGCACAGATCTTTCTGATGATTTGTGGCACGGTAGTTCTTGGAAATACTTAAAGTAGCAAGGCGCCTCCGTAGTTATGGTTTTCAATGCAGAAAAGCACATACATCCCTAGAGTCTGGGGTTTTTTACTGTTTGTGTCACTGCTCGCCCAGGTGCGTCCCCACTACAGGAGCTGGGACTGGTGCTTTCAGATGCCCTTTGAGTTTATGGGACTGTAATGCTTACAACTCCTTAACGACCTTGTGTTTTATTTATTTGGCAAAGGTTGGCTTTTCTTAACAAGGACATGGCTTTAACAACTGAGATAAATATTGATAAAGGTAGGACAGATTCTTTTTTCAATCTCTGTTGTTTTTTTCCCTTGAACTGTTGCTTTGGATTTTGTCTGAGTCCATGTTTAAACTTGTGTGTTGCATTAAGTTCATGCTTAGGAACTGTGTGTACTTTGATTACATTTTTAATTTTAGCTCATATTTTATAAGATTCTTCAGTACATTTTTAATACCTGATTAAGTTTGCTCTTGATTTTTCTGTTCTTCTTGGGCACTGTGACTGGCTTGGGAAGTGTCTGAGCTATATATAGGGATATCCTTTTTTTTTATATGTATGTATTTTTGTGTTTATGAAGAATAAAATAAATGGATTCTATACACAAAACAGTTGTATGTAACTCTACCAGCTTATGATTTTTTAAAAACCCCATTGATATTGGTAGCATATACATTCTCTTTAACATAAAAAGTTTGAGTAGGGATGTTTCAGTGCATTATGTTTAGTGTATCATTACATACTTTCAGCATAAATGAATGCACACTCATTTAAGGTCTTAAAATATTCCCTAATAACTCCCATAGAGCAGACTGCATGAGCAAGCATGTTTTAGTTACATAATAGTTTCGCATTACTTCCTTGACATTTTTATATGTTCCATTTGACTTCCATTCTATAGATTTTATTTCAGTGATATTTCTGACTGGCTAGTCTTTAAATGACACATGCTGTTCTTCCAGATTTATTTGTGTTTATCTTTTTGCCAGTTTAAGGATCTGAGTGGACCATAATTTTTTATCAACCTTCTTTGAGTTAATACAAATCTTATCTTCAGCCCATTGAAGCCTGCAGAAGCTCCAATAGCTGTGATTTCCTAATGCTGAACCTTTTATAGTTGCTTAATAGTCTTAAGTGAGGAGAGAAGCATCATCCCATTTTTAACTTACCTGTGGTTGTCCACTGGAGTTAAATCCTTGCAACTTTCAACATACATAGTTTGAGGCATGTCTGTTTGACTGTTCAGTTCGTGGAGTAGGCATTTGTCTTAGACTTGAGTGGGGAGTTTTTGTCTCTGCAACTGTAATAGATTGTGATATTTTTAGCATTCTGCCTGCATCATATTATATTTAGTAAGCCGGAATTAGAATTTCATTCATGGTTTTGTGTATACTCGTGTAGTAGTAATTTAGTGGTATAGTGATATATTGATACATAGTGTAAATGTTAATTTGATTCGTGTTTTATTAGTGTCAGTAACAACATCTCAGTTTTCAAGCATAGGGTCCAACCTTAAGGGTTTCTCTCTTTTTAATTTTTTTTGAGAGAAGGTCTTAATTTGTATAGTCATTAAAGAAATGATGCCATCTAGGAGTACAAGTGTGTTTTAGTCGTATGGATAAGGCAGGTTACAAAAATTGCAGTAATTGGTTTAAAAAGTAAGAAGAAAGACCTCCAATCCAAAATCAAGGATGGTCCTGTAACACTAATTGAAATAAATTTCCACTGCTGGCTGGTTTTATTAATTTCTATTTCTTTCACGTAGTTTGAAAATCTAGTGTAATAGGTATTTAGCCAGATCAATCCATTGCATATCAGAAGTTTTGATGCATATAGCTCAGTTACTGAGTCATGTAAAAAGTTATGGAATTATGAAAAATTACATAAAAATTAAGATGATCAAAATTTTAATTACTGGGAATTTTTTTTTTCGTTTTTTTCTAGGAGCTTTTTCTCCAGAAATTGGTTTTACACTAAAAACTGGTATCCACACACATTATCACAGGGCAGAACTGATAAATCCAGTAAGTACAGCAATGATAATGTCTTCCCTAAGCATATCTAATAATTATTTATTAAAAAACCCACTGGGCCTCCCCCTGAGGGAGTATTACAACTGAATTGTAGTACTTGTCACCTAAGTAGCACATAGTCTGCAGGAATGTATCAAAGTGTCTTCTCTGGTATTTCATGAGATTAATATCTTTCAAATTTGAGGAACAAACCCAGGACAAAAATGAAGAAGTTGTGGAACACGTACTTTTAAATATGTTTCTTTCAGGAGCTGAAGGGTAATCATCTGGGTTGACTGTGCCAGAATACACCCTGGGTTACTCATTATGAGATTAGCTGTGATCCAAAGATTGATCGTTTCTTTCAAAAGGAAAGAGATAATAATCCAAAATCCAGAATAAAATGTCCGCTTGCATGATGGTGGGGTATTTATTTTACTTGGTGGATAATTCTCATTCTCTAATCTGCTAATTAGTGTACCTTTTAATGTATTTACCATGGGGTTGGTAGCTAGCCCATAAACTTCTATTCGGTTGAGCAAGTAGTTTTCCACCTGCATAAGGCAGGCTCATGAAGCAATTAGAGACAAATAGGTTCTCTGCTTTTAATTGTGACTTCTGTTACACTGTATTTAGCCATGATTCACCAGTCCAAGGCCCACAGTCTGTGTATCCTTATTCCCAAAAAAGCGAGTTTTTCTAAAAAGAGCTAGTCTGCTTCCTAGATGACAAAAGTACATTGAAAAAAGACGTGCTTTCTACTGAAGTGGATGTTTTACAGCTCATTCTAGAATTGCAAATAAATTTCTCTCAACTGGCAGTGTGGGAAACAGTGAACAAAATCCAAAAGATGCTGTTATTTCAACAATTTTTCTCCATAACTTAATTTTGCTCCTTGCATGTCTGAGGGCTATCTTGACTGAAGTTTTCATGATTTTCTAAGGATGGAGTGAATGAGAGAAGTGCACATTTGCTCTTTCCCTTTCCTCTCTGGGAGATGGTCTGATTATCTTCTTCTTGACCTTAGCCTTTGACTTCGTGGTTTTCACCAGATTAGCCAATCCCAAATCTAAGGACAACTGCTCAGTCCACTAAAGAAAAAGTGAGAAAAGAAACCTAGGATTTTCACCAAATAGTTTGGGTAATTCTTAGTATTTTTTGTTTTAGCAGACCTGTATAGCAGGACACTTGCACCTTGGTCATGCACAGCTTGGAGACAGTATAAAATTTTAAGATTTACTGAGCACTGTAAGGAATAGTCTTCGCCTGTTATCTTTGCTACCCACATATGTACATTGCACCAATGTGGCTCTTCAACCACTTCAAGAGCCAACATGGAATGTACTTTCATATAAGCTTTCCTTCTAGTTTGTCCTCAGAAATTATAATATATAAATACAGCACGTAGATGTGATGTGACACAAGGTTCATGCAGAGTAGATAACTGTGAATGTTTTTAGGAAAAGTAACATCTGTTCCAGTTGTTCCAGAGAGTCATAGCTTTCTTTGTACTTCAAATGGATTGTGGGAGACCTTGGATATGCAGTCCTGTCTTTGATTCTTCCATCATGTACAAAATTGTAATTAAGAATTTTCATCTACCAGAGATGCAGAAGACATATATACAGATTTTGTAGGATCCAAGTTCTTTTCAACGAGTCATTTTCATTATCTGTTAACATGATATTCTATAGCACGTTCAGACAGGTGTAATAATAGTAAGTTTGTGCTTTCCCGTTTTTTATATTTTTTTTTCTTATATTGTTTGGTGAAGTGCACCAAAAGTTGTGAGGTAACACCTAACGGCTTTTAAGCATTAGTCTTTTTTTGGAAAACACCTGGAGTCTCCCCTCATATAGTTGTCTGTATAAATAAGTATTCAAGTGAGAAAAATTACTGAGATTTTGCAGGAATTTATTCACCAAAAATGAGGGCAGAATGAAAAGCTGTTCCCAGTATGTCAATCAGTGTCCAAAAATACTATTTGTGTAAGGTATATGGTTTGAGAAGATGTCTTAACCAGTCAGCAATATACTGATTTTGCTTAGCAGCAATTTTTTTTAGCAGACAAAACAATGTCTTCTTCTGAGTTATAATGGTAGTTTGCTGAGATTTTAAAGCATCTCTCTGGGCAATGTTAGCCAGTTAGAGCGTTTTAGTAGTTGTTCTATTATTCTCCTGACCTTGCTTGGTGTCTGGATAATGTTCCGTGTAAATATGCTGGCTGACTCACCTGAAGGGTCCATTTAAGCAAAATAAATAACTTTCTGCTAACCTATCTCATTGTCGTGTTTTGGAATTACATCAGTCACTAATTGTTACACAAACTAAAGAATCTGTTCTGTTCCAGGGAGCCTCTTAGCAGTCCTTGCTATTGGGAAATTTCTACCTCTTGCTCTTGAAGCCATTGTTAAGATGTTTGTTCTTACTGTGTGGCTAGTACCTTATGTAAACCAGAGAAGTTGTTAATCAGCGTCCACACCAAGGTGTTCTTTCTTAGAGTCCTCTCATGCTGCTGATGTTGCCCACTGTAAGTCAATGATTTGTTTGAAATTGCAGCCAGTGTGTGGATAGTCCACTAGTAATGCTCAGTCTTAGCTCTTTGGTGAGAGAGCCATTCTGAAGTTCTTAATCATTCCTAGTTTGCCTTAGACTTTGTATAAAGGGTCCTTTTTCCATACTGAAGGAACTCTCTGCATTATTGTCAAAGGCACAAAAAAGCAGACTACAAGGTCTTTGTAATAAGGAGTTGAAATTTGGCTCCTGTTGTGATATCAGTGCTGTCCTTACCCACCTTACCCACCTGCTATGTTGGCTTGTGGCAGCCCTGCCACTCAAAACTGGCTGATGTGCAAGTCTTGGAGTTCCTTAAATATGATATTTATAGGGATATTGAGAGCAGTATACTAAACATCACAGTCTTTGGAATAGCACCTTGTCTTATTTAAAGAAAAAAAGTTATCAAAAAAAGATTAAAACTGTGAGTTGAAATTAAAATGCCTTGTGTTTTGGTTCTTTGATATATAAAACATCTTAAGTTTGAAGCAATTGTATCTTTCTTGCAACAGTTTGTTTTCCTTATGGGTGAATGTTTTCTTCTATAGGCTTGATTTATTTTTCAACATTTTTGTCAAATAGTACAAGTAAAAAAAAAGGTTTAAGTGGAATGCTTTTGTATCTTAGTAATAATGTATGTTATAATTGGATCTAAGAATTCCATTTCCCAACTAAATTACAGAAGGAAGAAGATAAGCCTGCAATAAAACTGAGAAAATGAACAATTAATTACTTTGTTCACTAACTTTTAAAGTTTTTTCTTCTTTCAGGTACTTCAAGAGGCATACATATCTGACCAGTCTCAGTCCCTACTGAAGTGAGTATAATACATTGCATAGGAATTCCAGTCAGACAAAATGTAATTAAATAATTGTTATACTTCCATTTGTATGTTATTTTATTCCCAGTGTTCTATTGAGAAACATTTTTCTTGTTTGCTTAGTGAAGGATCTGTATTTATGTTGGCAGTAGTTCAATGTCCAATATGGATCAAGATGTACTTGGATTTATTTTTGTTGATGATACTACCTTAAATGGTTTAAGAACATAACCAACAAAAATAATGAATTTCGGGAAAACCATTAGAAAATAAAAACTTTTAATAAATCATATTAGGCTTTCTGTTCCTGAAAACTATGGAAAGATTTCAGTAAAAGATTTATAACAGAAATATAGAAAGAAGTAATAAAGAATAGAAAAGGCCATATTTTTTTCAGTTTGAGAACAAATGTGCAAACATGGCTAGGTACATGTAGGAAGTCCAAATGTCTTATTTATTGCATGTCCTTGTAAAGAAAAGTATACCTCTAAAATAACTGCAGCTGTTCCCACAAATAGCGGCCAATGCAAAGTACTGTAAAAATGTTCCTAAGATGAACAGATTACAGTTCTTCATGATTTTTTTATTGTATTATTTAATTCTAGGGATTGGATAAACCATTCATCACCTACTGAAAATATTTCTAAGCCTGGTTTTTCACTAACTTCTGCAGCAGAAGAACAGCAAAATAATTCTATAGGTATGTTGTATTTATACAAAACTAGTAGTTGCTCTAGCTGTGGCAAAATCATTTGAGAAAATAATTTGATAAGCTGAAGATGAGTATCCATATAGGTTTATATAGAATATGACTATACGTGTTTTTTACAGCAGTTGTTCAGTTTTTATAGTCATGGGCTGCAAGTTCTGTTTTGATAAGTACTCTGTTAGGACTGTTTGAAGAAGTAGCTTTTTTCTCAAGCCAGTGATATGTATCCAGTTTAAAATTATTTCAGTGCTGTGGAATTTTCTGACAAAGGTTACAGGCCACATGGTGCTTAAATGCCTTGTAGATGTGTAAGGTAAGCAGGTCATGGAGGGTTCCTACTTGGTTTTTTGTAACATACCCAAAAGTCAGAGGCATCTGTAAGAAAAGAGAAACAAAAATGCTGCTATTCCCCAGGTCTATATGGCATGTGCTGCTACTTAAGTTGTACTTCCATTCCTCAGTGTTCTGAAAAGTGCAGGGCTGCCCTACCTATTTTTCTGTCTTCCATTTGAGCTTATTTTTGGTAATCCAGCAGAAAAACATTCACTTTATTTCTGATTAGGAAATTGCCAGAGATTCACATGAATGTTGAAACAGGGTGATGAGATCAGGGGGTTTGGGATCATTGCCATCCAGAGGCGGGAAGTTATTGGATTGTTTCAGCAGTATTGTTTAACTGCACTGTAATTAGAGATGGCAGAGGCTAGGTCTCGTCATGTGAAATGGGTGGCAATTCAATCTGCTGATAGTCTTTGGAAACACAGGCCTGTAACTACCGTGAAGAAATGTGACAAAATAGCTCTGGCATATTATTTGGTGACTAACAGAGCCTAACCAGAAATTTTTTAATTGTCCGTTCCACTTAAAGAACAGTACTATAGTAATTTTTAAGGTTTGAAACTTAAGCCTTAATTAGGAAATTATACCCTTTTTAAAGAGACGATAAGAACTTTTAGAAGTTGAAAGTAAAACTGAAGTCTTTTTCTATTCTCCTAAATTTAGATATCAAATTGAATGGATTTCAGAAGGATTCAGAAGAGGTAAGCAAGTACATAGCTGCTGACACTGACACTGAGCACACTGAAAACAATTTTAAAGATAAGCTTTATTTTCTGGGGTTTTTTGGTAAGAACTGTAGTTGCTAAGCTTGCAGTACACAAGGATAAAAGCATAGCAGTGAAAGTGAGGTGGGAAAGACGTCATCATGATGAGACAGAATCTGTAAGGGCTGCTACTTAAGCTAAAGTAATGAACACACTTAGCAGCTTAAAATATTTCTCACCCATGAAAGCTATGAGACAGGCAGTGCATTTGGAAGGTTTCTGAGAAGGAAGAGGTTCTGTAACTATCCATTTTCCTGGGAGATTCTTACTTGTGGCTAGAAATAGGAAGTAACAGAGTGAAAGACTCTGCTTAATGCAGGTATCATATCTTTATGATTGTACCATCTAGTCCCATTGATTTGTACCTACAAATAAAAAAAAGTCAGTTTTACTTGGCTTTTTTCACGGATCCTGATTGAGGTTTATGTCAGGGAAAAAGCAGTTCTTGGTAGAATTCGCCAAAGGCAAATCTGAGACAGGTATTGATACTGAAATTGGCCAGATAGGAGCTTTCTAACATGGTTTTGAGTATTTGAGAGCAAGCATTCTTGAATGCAGCAGTGGTCACTTGGAGGATCCTTCATCCAATTGAGTGCCCCTAGCATCCAGTGAACAGCATTTATCATATACACCAATCACACATTCATTAACTACCTATCCCCCCTTGATGTATATCTATTACTTTATTTTACATAGTTGCATCCCTTATCAGAAGTTCCCATATGGTTCTTTGGGGTCTTCTTTGGCTGTTTTCAATGTCCCATGTCCTTTTTAGGGGTCCTTGACCCCTACTTTTGAGTAAGCACCATATCATTGTTTTGCATAACTTCTGCTTTGTCAGTCTTGCAGAACTGGCAAGCTGGCATCCTGCTTGCATTTTGCATGGCTTCTATTTGCCTAAGTTTCATCCTTTATCTGTTTTTCCAAGGCTGTGCTGTTCATTCTACTGTCTTTATCAGAGTAAAATGCTGTTCTGTTCTACCATCCTTACTGTTCATATCTTCCAGCAAATATGAGTGATATTCCATCTCAGAACAAAGCGAAAAAATGCAATATCCTAGGATATTCTTTCCTGAAAAATATACAACTATTAATATAAAACTATTAGTTTATTAAATGAAATATTCTCATTGTACATGATTAGTCTCATAGAACAAATTCTAAATGCCATGAAACAGATTGCCTATTATTAATAGCCTCTGAAGTATAGGCAGTCTGAATGCATTGAGAGTATCTCCAGAGAAGATATTTTAGGAGCCTGGACTAAGAAGCTGGAAATAATCACTACAGTGGATTTTACTTTTTGGATATTGGCTGATGTTGCCACTAGCAAGGTCTGAGTCCTGCAGAAGAATCTTTAGTGAGATGAACCAATGGCCATCACAGGCTTCTATGTACTGATTTGAAGCAAGGTCAGGACAGAGACCTTGACAACCAGCAGTGAGTCACTGAATATCTTAGTTTTGTGTATTTCTGAAAATACAAAATATATCTATAATTTCTCTATGCATAGAATTCTGACACGTCACAATTAGTCTTGCTGAATTTCCTTGGTTTTGATAAGGTAGCAGCATTGATTTCTGTTGTGGTTAGTTTGTCAGTAGTGGGGCCAGTATGTTCAGTGTCTTCTTTTGTGGCCTGGGAAATAGAACACACTGCGCCCTCAGCAGGTTCAGAGGTGGTACCTGGAGGAATGAATGATAGAACAGATAGTTGTGTTGTCATTCATAGGGACCTGAACAGATGGGAAAACTGGGAGGAGGGCAATCTCATTAAATTCATCAAGGGGAAATGTGAAGTTCTGCATCTGGGGAGAAGTAACTTCAGGCACCAGTACACATAGAGACTAGCTGACAGGAAAATAGCTCTGCCAGAGAAGGACTTTGGAATCCTGGTGGACCCTCTACTCTGCTCTTGTGAGACCCCACCTGGACTACTCTGTCTGGAGTTTTGTGAATTTGTCACATTTAAGGGTTGAATTTCAGATGACTTTGGGGTCTTCAGGATCTTGCAAAATTTCACCCAGTTTTCAACAAATGCACTGAGTCTTTTTCATGGGAAATTTGTAATACATATACATGCTGTTCTTCAAGTAGAGAAAGTTACACCAGTGAAGTTTTCTTTTTCCTCAGTTGTTTAATGTCCGGATGAATTAGAGAAGTGGTGTAAAAATAAAGTGTAATTCAATAAATCAAAGTGAGAAGTAATCAGTATTTAGAAACAATTTGATGCACGTGTAAAAGATAGGAACAGATAACAGGTGAATACTTTTCAAGAAAGAATCAGAGATTTATACTAGCTTGCAAACTGAACCTGAGTGTATGCTGTCAGACATCTGCCCTTTCTGCTTTATTGTGTGTGAGCTTTATCTAAATAGTGTCACCAATGGTTAAAGGTTTCTTGCATTACCTGATATTGCCACTTGCTGGCAGCAAGACTCCAAAAATGCATTGAAAGAGATTTTCTTAGATCCAGTATTATTAAGTACAAGTGCTATTGTATACAAATGTTACATAGAAAAAAACCCATGGTTTAGGTCTCTAGAGGCATCATGTTTTTTTCTGCAGAGCACTTAAAACAAGGATAGAGGAAAAGATAGAAAAGCAATATATTCTTGTAAGAATGGGTGCTTCTGTTGAAAGTAGCTAAAAGTGATTAGAAAAACAGCAGTATTACTTTTCCAAGAACAATAATGATTTGGTGTTCTGTACTCACTGTGGAAACCACACCATGCAAACTCCTCAAAATTCTAAGGTTTTGAACTGAAGTTTGTAAGACAAATTCTCCTTACCCGTATTGGATCCACATAAACATGTAATCAAAACTCCTATATTGCTTTTTACTAACTATGTATTTTAAGATATTGTGAATATGTTTACTTTCATTATTCCTGTGTGACAAATTTTTAATTACTTTCTTTTAAAGCCTTATAACACTCTCAGGTTATTTGCCATTGGCAATGGCATAGTGTCTTTGGCTAAAACAGATTTAGTCTCTTTTCCCTGGATTTTCACTGCTATGGAAGTCAACAGCTGAAGTTAAACTTCTTTTGAAACTGAGAGCTCAGTCTAACTCTTGTTAAAATATTGTATGAAGGAAGGCTTTGTGTCTTGTAGATTTTGCAAAAATACATTTTACATTTTGTATAAGGTACATTCACATATAGAAAGAACTTCTACAGTGAATTTTAGTTCAATGCTTTTTAGAAAGAGTTGCTCCATTCTTTTTTTGTAAACTTTTTATATCTAATTTTTAGATGCCACGAAGATTAAGTAATAAAGATTGCTTTCCAGAAGAAAGCCTCTGTCTACATGATCCTGTGGAAGATGTAATAACAGTTCAAAAGGAGCAGATACCAGAAGATACATTTCCACATGTTTTAGATAATTGCCGCAAAACCTGCATGACCATTATTGACACAGATAACAGAGCAAAAGAGCATTCCCTTAATAATGATGCAGATCTTTCACTGTCATCCCTAGGGAAGATTTTCATGGGTGAACTCACTGAACAGAATATAGAGACTAGTGAGGTTGACATCAGTAATTTGTTGAGATACCCTAGTGATTCTGAGAGTCTTAAAATTAAAAACCCATTGCCTGACAAGTTGGAGTGTCAGGGTCATGCCAGTTCCATCAATCCATCAGCAGCTGAGAGCAGTGATGCCCTGCCAGTGGAGCCTGTGGTGCCTCTGAATGCCTTGTCAGGATCAATGGTACAAGCTGCCACTCCTGCAGTTGCAAATGAGAGACAGCTTAATGCCAAGGAAGAGCAGCTAAATTCAGAAGCCAGTGTTCTGCAGGTAGATGATGACTGTACTCAAATAACAAACGTGATGGAGCCTCCTCAGAACGGAGCCTCTTCCATTCAGATGGAAGAAATAAATGCCTTCACAGGATCTAATTTGCAGAGCGCAGCAAATGAGCAAGTATAACCACACTTTAATTCATATTTGAAATTTTATATCTATCATAAAGTATTATAGAAAGTAGCCAAATTACTTGAAGATGGGAATTTTCAATCTAGTAAAGAATAAACTAGCATCAGTAATTTGCATGTTTAAATAATTTAATAATTTTCTATAGACTAGGAATATTATTCAGTGGGGATTTTTTACACGTGTATTTAGAAGTGTATTTATTGTGCTTATTGTTCTGCCCATACAAGACATACTGAAAAAACTGAGGCATGCATTTATATAGTTCCTATCCTCTCCTGAAGAAACCAGTATGTGTGGATACAGCGTGTGGTCCTTCTTGTTGCTTCTTGTGCTGTGAAGGTGTTCTGTGACACATCATTTCAATCCAACAACACTAACTCAAAAGTATGGAGAGGAGCATGAAAGGAAAGCCATAGTTTCTTCCTGTTTAGATTATAATAAGGGAAAGAGAAGGACAGATAGGAGACAGATTTATGCTGCAGAGTATATTAAGCATCTCTTGTAAACCTGCAACCTTTTTCTCTGCTGTGTTGTATTCGAATAATCGGGAGCTGCAAATCAATGTTCAGTCATGTAAAGCTGGCTATTTAAGGTAGTTTTACAGCCCACAATGGCATAAAGCATCCGAAAACTATAAGTTAATTCTGTCTTTTCCTAGTAGTATTAACTGAATGTATAAGCATGTAATTGAATGTGTCACAGAAATAGCTAATTTCAAGGTGCTGAAAGGTCTGTAGAATCAGAACCATAGCACTGTACAAAGCTTTTTCACTGAAGTATTGATTTCTGAAATTTAGCACAGCTGTTTGAAGATTAATGTATAGATTTAATCGAAATTACGGTTAAAATTGAGAAGCAGAGTTTTGTGAAATGGAGCTCTCTAACCTCTTGTAAAAGAACAATCAACTTTATCTTTTTTGTGCCTTTATCTGGTGTTCTTAAAGGCAGAAGGTAAGGAGGCAAATTACTAAGGAGAAAACCCCAGTTAATTTGTTAGTAACTGTTGAATTGTAACAGTATATTGTTCACCTTGGTATTTTCTCACCCTTCTTTCTCCAGAGTATTCTTTTGGGAAACAAGTATCCAAAAGAGGGGTGTCTGTACTGACTTGTAGATGCTATCAGGATGCTGGATATCCCATGTATTTTAGTATATGGTCTCTTATAAAGCAAGTGCGGGATTTTTTTCTTTGAAATGTTTTCTTCTCCTTCTCTAACCCTGCTCCCATCACAGATGTGGATCCATGGAAAGTCCTGTTATGATAGTTTTCTAAGCTAATACGTTTGATTTTCCCCAGCTGCCATACAATCATTAAGGTTGGAGAAGAGCTTTGGGGTCATCAAATCCTATTGTCCAACCATAAACCACTGTGGTTACCACTAAGCCATGTCCCCAAGTGCCACATCCACATGTCCTTTGAGCGTTTCCAGGCATGGTGATTCCATCACTTCCACCACTTCCCTAGTCAGCCTGTTCCAGTGCCTGACCACGCTTCCAGTGAAAAAAGCTTTCCTCATACCCAATCTAAGCCTTCTCTGTCACAACTAGAAGCCACTTCCCCTTATCCTATTGTTTTTTACCTGGAAGAAGAGACTAGCCCCCACCTCATACGAACTCTTTTCAGGTAGTTGTAGAGAGCAATAAGGGCATTACTAAGACCTAGAGGGACCACTTTTAAGAAGGCAGTTTCCCTCTTTAATAACCTCTCTGCTAAATGTCAATTCAAAAAATTAATCAGCGCGTTCTCCATTTCTGTTTTTATTGCAAGAAAGGGCTAACCAGTTCTCCCACATCATTGTGAATTTCTATGCATGTGTGCGGGGGTGTGTCCCAAAAGCTTTCAGCATTACTCAAGTATGTAATGAAGTAATGAGTACCCAGATTTCAGGAGCTTGAGTGATACACAGCAGCATGTCACAGTCACATGGCTAGAACAGTGAATAAAGTCAAGCAGCTCAAATTAACTTCCATGTGGTGACCTGTCTTTAGGGTGGGATTAGAGTTAAGTCTCTGTTATATATGAATCATTTAGGTTCCCCTTTGCACAATTTAGGATGAGGTAAATCTCTATCACCTCAGAGTAGTTCTTCCTCTTTGCAAGTGGTAGGGTTATGAGGATGCCTAGTGTCATCTACATGTCTGGCTTTTAGAAGGTTGAAGGTAAGTAAAATCTTTAGAAATAACTGCTCATCTTGGAGTTACTGGAGTTCATGTGAAACATGGATCTCACTTTGTGTAAAGTTTTAGGCTTCTGCAACAATGAGATGGGATGGGCTGTTTTAAGACATCTCAAGCGTCATCTTATTTTTTAGAACAGGGGCTCATGTCCATAGGAGACTGAAATGAATCTGTTGTCATTTCAAATGTCCAGTCAAATAACTTTCAGATAGAACAACTTTTGTTTGCAGTCATCCAGCTTAGATTAATGTTTTAAGTTGTGACTCAGTAGCCTAATTCTCTTGGCTAATTCTGCCACGAACACATTGCATGGCATACAACTTTAGGATTGCCTCTCCTGTGGCAGCCTCTGTCTTTCATACCTGTAGAATCACAGTTATTCACTTAAGAAATCCTTCAATTCTCTGTGGGCATACAATTTAAAAACCAGTGTTCTTGGAGCTCTTTTATATACAACCTTTGTTTTAACTTCATGCCTACCAGTTGCTTCTAATATTTCTTCTTTTTGTCATAGCCTGTGGGTGGTCAGCAGGCAGAGAAAGAAGTAATTTCACATTACTTGGATGCCACTTTTAGTGAAAGACAAACTGGTGAGCTACATTCGTATTCAGTGGAGCCTGCAGTGTGTGCAGAAACAGCTCAAACAACGTCAAGGTAAGTGAGATCTCCTCAGGAAAGTACAGAGATTGTTTCCTCTCATCACCAAATACTAGAAGAAAGAGCAGGGAATGGCTCACAGTGGCAGTATAACAAGAAACAAACCTAATATTTTGAGTATGAGAAATCTATGCATAATAATTCTTAATTTTAAAATTATATTAATCTAATAGATACAATGCATTTGGAGTACTTATTTGTCATGTGAATGACTTCAAATGATCAAAAAGAAATATTTTACCTTCTATTTAAAGGTCTGGGAGTTAGTTTCTCTCCTGATTTACTCCTTATTTAGTACTACCTAAGTTAGCCTACTATTACAACATTTCTTTTGAAATCAAATGTATTCGTATTCTTAGCTCTACTGTAAACATTGATTTATATAGAAAATATTTTTGTTGATTCTAAGCAAATTTCTTATCAGTAAAATTCAGAAGTCTACTTCTGAAGACAAGCAGGATCTAGAAGCCATCATTTGGCAAGAAATAATTCTGAACGAGTATGCAGAAGCTAATCAGAGGAGAAGAAGCAAGAGAATTGACATCAAACAGAGTAAGATACTCTATGTTCTTATCATACAGATTATTATTTGAACAACTATACTGAATCAAATATAATTCATAATTTTTCCAATATATTGTGCCATGGTTTTCTTTTAAAAATATGATATAAACATTCATTTTAATAACTAAAGTTATTGATAATTTACCTTCTTCTGAAAACCCATGTATTAGCCACCTAACAGTTAACTTGTTTGCATAAACTCCTCCTTAAGAATCATGAGATATTTTTAGGATGCAATTTTTATTACAGTGTTTTATATGAAAAAATTATGGTGTGTTCTGAAAAGGAGAATTGTTTTTTTGCAGAGTGAAAAGTTAGATCCTGAGCTACATTTATGCTCCTGCCGTTTAGTATTCTGTGTACAAAATCATTGTCAGAGCAGTGCCATCTTCAAGAATTGGCCTATATAAAACAGTTTCTTTTATTTTGAATGCCTTTTGTTGTTACCCTGTCAACAGGACTATAGGGCCTTTAATACCACAGAGCAGTCTTTTGAAGTATTTTTATTTGCAATATGCTTTGTTAGAGAAAACGATTGCTATTTTTCCTTTGAAAGTACATGCAGAAAAATTCTTGACTTTCTTGCAAAATTCTTGCAGAGGAATTTTGTGGGAGATTAAAGAATTTCTGCACTTAAGTGTTCAGTCCAGCACCTTTATGATTAGTTCTTATATGTTGGGGTTTTTTTTGTTTAAGTCGACTCAGACAGGGTTTTTCCATTTACCTACAATAATTTAAAAATCTTACAAAGTTTTTCAGTATTTGAATTGCAACAGCTACGTTTTAGATCTTAAAAATCATAGAGAAGTCTACCTCCAGTTAATAGGATTTAATTCTCTTTTGTAGGATTTTAATTATTCACAATGGAAGAACCATTTTTATGAGGTTTAAAGTTGAATGACTAACTGCTCATCTATTTCAAATCGACTTGTTAGTTCCCATTCAATAAATAAGTTACTGATTCTTTGGCATGGTTTCTGCAGAAAGAGTTGCACTGCCTATAGAGGTAGCTTCATGGTAAATCAATCTAGCAAGCTTACCTCCCTTTCAATCAGACCTGTCAAGGGCCCATGAGTAATCTTAGTTTGGTAATTCACTCGAAAAACCACCCCATGATAAGTTTTGGTTGGGGTCTGCATTTGTCACTTGTTCTGCACGAGGTCAGGCGCATGGAAAGCTCTAGGGAAGGCAAGTGGAAGTAATGGGAAATAGATCCCTTCAAGGAAGATTTTAATGAGGTATAGTGTAACATAAAACTGCACATGATTCTGTTTATGTCTGTGCAGTTTAATCCCTCCTGAACTGCTTGACTGGTTTAGACAAGCTTTGACTAGTTACTGCATGTCTTAAATGATTGATGTCTTACGAGGCTGGACAGCAGAGAGGGACTGTGTGCTCAGCTGAGGAACCCTATCTATTAGATTGTAAAAATCTACGCAGAGGCAAGAATTTAAGAATGTTTGGAAATAGTCCGAGATCACAGTGTATCACAATGCACAAAACTTCAGGCTGTGTGAGTCACAGCTCTAGAAAAACTATGGGTTTTAAGGTCTATTTCTGGAGATGCCAAATTGATTTTTGCCTTTTTTGCTTTTATATATTCTTTATATTCTTTACACATATATTTGTAACTTCGTAGCCCATAAATGTATTTGTAGTTAGCCCCAATACTTCTCCCCTCCTTTTCCCTACCCTGATAGGCAGAAACATAAAACATATTCCAGACACTCACAGCTGGGGCTCTGTCCTATGTTAGTTCTTCTTATGAGCCAAGGTTGAAACCAGCTCTTTGACACACGCTTTGTAAATAAAGTTTAATTCCTGTCTAAGGGGGGAGGATTCAGAAAAGGGCTGAACTAGGGGAGAATTACCTCACCACTTATGTCTCTATTTGGGGTTTTTTGTCAGTTATGTTAATTCGCTAGACTTATTAAACTGTATTCATCCTGTGCGGGGTTGTGCATTATCCATATCTGACCCCAGAGGCCTCCAATAAACACCAACTTTTATGTTAGTTCCTATACTAATACTGCCTCAAAAGTCTGTAGTTTCATTTTTAGGATCTTTAAGGCATCACTGGTGCCTGAGTGGAGTTTTAGGACCTGTGAGGCATATCTGCTACAGCTTGTAGAGAGGAGCAATGTATGTAACCTGCTGTCCTAAGAGTTCTCATTAGTAGATGAATTAATGGCCTAGGCCTGCACTATGTTTATCTTCAAGCGATTCTCCTGTTCTTTCTTTCTTCCTTTCTTTCTTCTTACTTCCCTTCTTGTTTTTCATCAGAGGCAGTAGCCAGGATGCTCTTTCACATGGTTTTAATGGATGTTGGAATGGCAGTGCTGGTAACAGCTCATCTGTACTGGAAATAATTTAAGCCAAGCTGATGACTGCATAATGGGAGAAAGTGTTTGTTTTGTAAAATAATAAAATGGACATTAAAACCAGTCTGTTTTAAGTTTTGCTTCTTACATTTAGACCTCATATTCACCTTTCACTCATTGCAGAAATGACTAAGCTGGTTGTGAAGTACTGAGAAAAGATAACTTAAGGGAGATAGTCTCAATCACTATCCTAGTGTAAATACTTGCTCACAAAGCAAAACTTTTAAAAGATAGATGAGTAAAGAAGAATGGTGGATAGATTTGACTTTTAAGAAATGTTTAATTATTGAATAACTGACTAGTTATTGAAGTGGTGACCTTATAATGATTTTAATGCAAAAGAGTGGTTTTTTATTATCCATGGGGAAACAATGCACATTGCAAACATGTCTTTAGAAAAGAAGCCTGAAGTTAAAACACTTCTACACAGTCATATTTCTGTGTCTTGAATTTCAGTTGGGGTTTTGTTATGAAATGTACTATGACATCCTTTATTAAATGGCATTATTATTCAATTTGTGATGTGTTTTTTGAGATTTTCATTTTTACTAGATTGAATCAACATTTGCTTCTTCAGGTAGCTTATTTACTAACTTTGATATAAAGTGAGGCCAAGATAAGAGAGAAAAGATACTTCTCTGTGTAACAAATCTTTTACATTATTTTTCAGGACGAGAAGCCTTTGGTAGGAATTCCATAAATCCAACTCGCCCCCTTTCACTTTCAACAATCCACAGGAGGAATGCGTATGGTGAGAACTTACTGCATAGAGCTGTTACTCATCAAGACATAAACCTTGTACGTAGGATAATAAAAGCCGGTGGAAATGTAAATGCTCAGGATTATGCTGGTAAGTTGTAATTGTACTAAAATACTGTTTTCAGTACAAGTACCTGCCTATAATTAATAAAAACATATATTATGAGTTTGTGCAGTGGACAAGACTGTAAGTTTGTGACTAGTCAATTGATTATTAAATTTTCATTGGTTTAACTTAGCACTTGTTCATGGGAAAACATGTAGATCTTGTTATAAAAGTATACAAGAAAGGAAATTTTGAAGGAGAAGTTAAGCACTTGAAAAAGTTACAAAGTGATGTAATTAGGTTTAGGTGCCTTAGTTCAATGATTCCATGCATGCTTATCACAAAAATGTCCCTAATAAAATAATCAACTTCAGAGGTCTTAAAGCTGGAGGATATTTTTTGTCCATTTCAGTGGCCAACTTGAGATGTCAAGATTTTGGCTAATTTTTTCAGGAACTTTCATTTCACCCTTTACATCTTGAGAGAAGTTGAGCACTGTTTTGAATTTTTGAAGTTGTTATTACTTGGTATTTTCCATTTTTTCTTTGACTTGGTCAGGGAAAAAAAAAACTTGACAAAAGAGTAGCTATCTGTTAATGTTTTGGTTCAAGAAATTTGCCTTACCTAGCTTCGTGGGTGTTACTCTGTGGTAAAGACTTCACTACACCTTAATTACTGTTTAGTTTTTCAGATATAAGACTGTTCCTAATCCTCACTTTGCTGTCTCATCCATTAGTTTCTGAAAAATTTCTGTAACAAAAAAAGAAAATTGTTTCAGACAGCTGGCTCTTCTGCTAGAAAACTTCATTCTTGCAGTCTTTCCATGTTGTGCTAGCAGCTAGGATTTCACAACTGTCCTATAGGAAAGAAAAAAACACATCATGCAGTTATAGGCTATTGCATAACGCAGGCATATAATGGACCAGAATTAAGGTTGAAATTCTCTGTCTTCCAGAATATATTGAGAGATAGATTGGGTCAGCAGCAGTCTCATACTTTGACAGCACAGTCATTTGAGCTAACAGAGTGACTTATAATATATACTAATGTGTGCTGGAGGCAGATGAGAAAATATTTTGTTGATGGGATTCAAAGCCCTGTGTTGACAACTGAGAAGTGCCGATAATGTGGATTCAGCTGCAGCCACAGTAGGCGAGTGTACTAAAGTGCAGTGGCTCTAGATTTTGGGGTCACAGCTGCTTCCTTTTTCTGCCTTTTGGGGTCACAGCTGCTTCCTTTTTCTGCCTTTGCATATTTTGCTAGGCCACCATTTTTTTCATCCCCCAGACTCTGGCTGCTGTTTTTTTGGTGCAAAAGGAGCAGAGCTGCACAAAATATATTTTAATTGTACTCCTTGAAGAGATGAGAGGTTGACCTGGCCCTGCTTCTTTCATTTTCAGTATGGCAGGTGTAATCAGAAAGAAGTACACTTTGAACAGACTTGTGTCATTTTGGCACACACTTTCATCTTGGTCTCTTTGAATTCTGAATATTATATTCTGCCTCTGTGTCTGTTCTCATCCTTTAAAGCTTTCCCCCCAATGATTATCCATATCTTAGCCTAGTCTTTTTTCATTATTCCTATGCTATGGTACTCTGCTTCAGTTTACTGAGTTATTGGGATCTGCTGTTGTTTGTTGAATTTTGGGGTTTTTTTTCCTCCTTTTTAATTCTGGACATCAGCATGTAGGATATGGCCAGCATATTAGAGATACTGTCTTGTGTTTTGAGTCTTGACTCACAGTGTCAGAGGGATCTGAGAAACAGTTGCATTGAAACTTGTGTTTCTCCTTGATTTGAGGCATGCACAGTGTCCTTGCAGACTCATGTTGCTACTCTCTAGTGATTGTTAATTGAATGTGTTGCAGGTGCAGTTTTCCTAGGTCTTATTATTACATCAGGTAGAGGATACCCTTTACTGACGGAGAAACGAGTACATTCCCCTAAATGCAAAGTTTTATTATCTCCTTGACGGATTTCGTAACAAACCTGATTACTAGGAATATACAATAGTCAGGGTTGGGGTGCTTATAAAAAAGCCTCGAGAGTATCTCTCTCTAGTGAAATTAAGATAATTTTGCTTAATGGGATTGAAACAATCTTATTAAGCCTTATTAAGTCACATATTTAGTATGTGAATTAAGCCCTGACAACTTTCTGATAATGGAAAATTGTTGAAGAGTAAGACTATCCATCAAAGTGGAGGATGTTATTATAACATTCTGGAGGCCATGTTAATTTCAGAGCTGGAAGTTAGGAAGTGGAAAATCCTCTGTGTTTTTCCCTTATGTCTCTTACCCTGCATGTTTGAGGACCTGATGCATGGTTATGCCAAACTCAGTTCAAAGACCTAGATTCCATATTTTTCCTAAACAGTTCCTTCATAGAGTGGAATTCGTGTGATACTTGCTTTTTTGCATATACCTGGATGTGAATGTGGAATTTCATGAGAGATTTTTCATTTATTTTAACATTCATTTATTTGAATGGTCTTAGAAACATTTTTGTTTGGTAGTAAATAATTAATGTCTTCATTTTTGCCACTTTCTTACTTACCCTCTTCAGCATAGCCATGTAAATAAAGCAGTGCAGTGAAAAATCACCTTGTCCTTAAAATAGCATATATGGTTTACTCCAGGAGAAATGAGTAAAATATGGGATAAATGTTATACTCGGCTTTCATAACAGAACTAGCAAATCTAAAACTAATGTTGTTACAGCAGCATTTACTTCCTCAGTAGGTGCTAATTTTGTCTAAAGCATGAGATCTCCCAACCCTTGTGATGTTCTCATAAATATTTCTTCATACATCTTACTGGAATGCATCCGTTTTTACCATTTCAATATACTCTGTGAAGTGTTCATCAGAGACACAACCTGAAATGGACATAAATGTCTAGAATGTTTTTCACCCAAATGTGAAATACATGTTTTTCTTTTTTTTAGGCTTGACTGCACTACATATAGCAAGTATGGAAGGCTATTATGGGATAGCAAATCTGCTTTTGAAAGCAGGAGCTGATGTTAATGCTACACAAAAGGAACAAATAACACCCTTGCAAGATGCAGTTAAAGAAGGCCACTATGAGGTATATTCTTAGCTGAACACAAAGTATGATTCAGGAATAGAAATTATTATTGTTGAGTCCAGAATGTCACATAATGTTTTTGTATGGGGCTGGTCTTTTTAGATTGTAGGTAAATTCAAGAGCTTGCAAGTCTTCTCTGCCTGATTGCTATTCAAACCACTCTGTGCTTAACAAGATTTGTCTGAAAGGAGAAGTTTTTTCTAATTGTTCTGGACAATGGCTATACTACTGAGGAGTAGATTGCTACCGTTTAATACTATTTCATTCACGGATTTTGTAATCACCCTGCAGAGTAATTTTTGACTTGAGGAATCTTCTATTAATGAGATTTTGGTCATAATTTAGGAGTCACGGTTATATGGCATGTTATCACAGTCATGCACACAGAACACGGAGGATTATGAAGAAATAGCCTTATATCTTGTAGGGTCTTAAACTGAATGCTAACTGAATAGTCAGTCTGAATTAAAGGCAAAATTTCTTGCCAAATGCAGTGGTTTCATAAGCCTGTGTCTAATTGCAGATCCTCTTTAAATCCTCTTTAAGTGTGGTAGTGGTCACTTCCACTGTCTGTACATATTCCTAGGGTGTCTCAAATTTATGTAGGAGTTCTGTGTGTCCCCTTTATCTGCTGGCAGGGGTTTTTTTATAGACCTGCATATATGCTGCCTAATTCTTACTGACATCCAAGATTGTAAAGATTTTTTTTTTTTTTTTTTGGATGGCTAATAAATTTTGTTCCTGAACATTTGGTCTTCTTCACAACTGACGATGAGAACTACTCTGTTTCTCCTGAAAGAGTCTCTCTGGGGCAAAGAGGAAGGGTGGACTTTTGGTTAATATTTTTTCTGACACTTGAAAGCCCCAAGAATAATTGCATCATGTGCATAAAGACTGTTGCAGGTTCATTAAATATTTCTGAGTTTTGTGACTTTACCTAAGACAGTTGTGGATGAAGGACTTTGTATCTCTTCAAGTAATACTTAGGCTCCAGCAACTTGAATGATATTGGAAGAGCACTGATCTCAGCTATGTCACTTGAGACACACCAAGATCATTCAGCACACAGCTGAGTTAAAGTTATGCAAGCTGGTATATCCGGGGAGAACGGTACTACATGGTGGTACTGTATTTACTCATTGCTCTGTTTACTCAGTAGCAGTAAAGTTGCCATACTGTAGTGGGCTGTCAGATTTCATTTTGTTGTTTTTTGACTAGCAACGAAATACTGATAGTGATTCAGTAATATGACTTTAATTAACATGGTATTTGGAATGGTGTTTTTCAAAGCTATCTTCTCTGTGTGAAGTAGATTGGAAACACAACTTTTGACTATGTTATCGTTTTCTGTACTTGCAATATGCAAAATCAATTTATTTCAGAAAAAATGCTAAGTGTAGGAAAGATTTTCTAGTAGTCTGGTTAAAGGGGAGAGCATACATATGTGGTGATGCTCTCAGTGATCCTATTATGAAAGAAGTGTTCTCAATATTACTGGTTGAAAAAAATCTAAAGACTTGGGACAACTTGTGAAACCCAAAAGGCCTTTTGCTCCCAGCCGAACCCTTTTTATTTTACTCTGTTGTTAGGAGAATGTATGAATATGGAAAACTTCATTAAGAATTTTCTCATTAACAATCTGGTTAGAAGTAATGAGGGCCTTGAACACACAGGTGAAGGATGTGAGTCAAGTTCCGTCTGAAATGATAACAGATGGTCAGGAAAGAAATGCAGAGGTACTAGTAAAATCATGCTAATTTGGAATAAGATTGCAGAGTTACCCGCAGAAATGAAATAATCAGACTGTAAATTTCCCATATCTTAAAAAAGTATTTTGCAAACATTGAAGGAATATTTTGTTAAAGTGTTAATTTCTTGAGTAACCACAGAATCCAGGTTTTATATTTATATAAAAATCATAATGTTGGTAGCAAGACCATCTGAATGTGTTTTATTTGAGCAGATATATATGTTGTACATCAGAAATAGCTGTCAAAACTTCCCTTGCAGTCACAGGAGTCACAAAAGACACATCTAGAGCACAATTTATTTTCTCCTAAAGTAGATATCCTAGATGGATAAGCTGACGAACCCTAAAATCACCTGTTATTTTCTGCCAATTAAGACCTGTGGGAGGATGAATCTACCCTGTAATTTGAGAGACCTTGTTTTAATGGCACCAGGTTAATAATTGGAACAATTTATAAAAATAAAAGGACTATAGGATAATGATGCATCTAGGGGGATGGTTGGTATGTATGAACTAGAATAAAGAGGGATTTGGTTTTTAGTTGTTCATGTTGTCAAGTACAAGAGAAAGAAGCCCGTATGAGGATCCTGAAAAATACTGTCAGAAAATAAATTATCGGAAAAACTTATTTTTCTAGGTGGCAAACTTATTACTTTGGTATGGAGCTGATCCCTTATTAAAAAATCACGTGGGAAAGTGTGCATTAGACGAAGCTTCTAACCCATCTATGATGAAACTTCTTAAAAGTTATGTAGCAAAATCTAGAAGACGCTCAGTAGCAGGTAGGAAAGAATTACTCTGACACAGCATCACTGCTAAATGGAGAAATTTAGAACATCTGTTGAATGTTTCCTTAATTGCTGCTAGTACTTCTATGACCTTATGACACCTTATGTTACCAGTGACCACTCCTTACACTCCACAGTTGCTATATGTTGACAAAGTGTAAAAGGTAATGATGTCCAGCTTTTTGGGGGGCTGGAGTTTCAATTTGAAATGAAGATGTGAAACACACCAGTTGTCTATCTAAATGGATGATGCAGCATTGCTTGACTTGCTGATGGATGAGGTATGGTTTAGAAGTAGAGATAAAATTTGGCTTTAAACTGGCTAAAGTCTAAATTTCAAAGGATCCATAAGATAAAAAATGGGAAACTAGGATTAGATCTGGATCTTAGGGGTTGCCAAGCCTTAATTGTTGTTAGGGCTGGGTACTGGAAAATATTACCTGTAGGTAACAGCTAGTGAGTTTGTAAGGAGAAAGTTGGATTAGAGCTAGCAATTGGCGAAGGAGAGAGTAGGGTCTTGTACTGTCTTGGGAACTAAGTTGTGAAGAAAGTTTGGAGGAGGCTATTTGATCAGGAGCAGGTACAAAGTAAGCCTTGATTAGAGCTAGGATTAAGACCATGGACACCCATAGGCCAGTGTGAGCTGTAGTATGTTTAAGTCAGAAGGATTCTCAATCCCTCGGACTATTACCCATTATTAGTTTTCCACATGGATGGTAATAAAGCTGTAACATGTAGTCCAGGGATAATCAAAAGAAACTTCAGGGCCTCAGGTTAGTTGGTAAGGGAATCTGGTAAACAGGTAGTTTTTTCCTCTCTTCCTGTTGTGAGCAGGGACATTGGAAGAACCAGACAAACCCAGTCTATTAATGCATGACTCCGTAGCTAATGTCACTGTCACAGTTCTGGTTTTTCAGTAAAGGGGTGGTCAGGATGTCCCCAGGCCTTCTGGTGTCAGATGGAATTCACCTTTCTCAGAGAAGGAAGACGATCTTTGCTCATAAGTTAGCAGGGCTCATTGACAAAGCTCAAAACTAGACTTGAAGGGAGACTGAGATAATATCCGACTTGCCCATGAGGAGCTGTCAGGTGACATGAAGATGGGATGGATGGGGTACTAGTGAGGGCTCTCAGCCTGCTGCTCTGAGATTCTTTGGGTACCTGAACACACTTACAGAGAGGAGACAGAGGTTACACTAGGTTTCAAAAATAATTGCTCAGATCACTAATCATCAAGAAAATTTGAAAGTATGATGCCATTCTTTACTCTCACCAAACAAGTTTGAACAAGATGCTATTTGCAACAAAGATTAGACTCCAAAATTTGATCAATGTTTTATATATTGATATGTTTTAGATTCCAATAAAACTCTTAAGGGCTTGATAATTTTTCTTGAAAGCTAAATATTGTAAGTAATGTTACATGCAGTATTGTAGACATAAGATGGTATATATGTTAAGTAAATTATTAATCTTTTCAGTTCTGGTTTCTTTCCATATTTCCTTTTCATTCAGGTGCAGGTGATTCAAAGAGCATGTTGAATACTCAGTGTGTAGAAGAAACAAACCAGCACCAGGTACATCTTTATAAAGAAATCTGATTTGATCATAAACTGTTAAGGGCTTGGTGACAGTCTTCACTGAACTAAAGCAGATGACTGTTTCTGAATTATGATTCAGTTCCAACACACAATGTACTAGATATATCCAGCAGAGACTGAGAGTAATAGTGTAAAGCTCATCCTTACTAGTGCTTGGAATAAGGTACAACCTCATGAGTATGCCAGACAGAGGCAAGTGTCTCATGGATGGTGGTTCTTGCTGATTTTGCAAATGCTGCAGAGCTAATTACAGAGAACATGGTACATTAGTGCCTGTTTGTACTTGCAGAAACCTTACTGAAACTGCCATTTTTTTGCCTGTCTTGTAGCAGTAGGATAATTATCTCTTGCCTCTGGGTAGAGTAAGTTGTGTTGGGTTTTGAGAGCAAAGGGTTGGGAAGACACTGTCTTGCACAGGGGTTGCACAGTTATGCTGTGAGGTCTCAGCAGGGTGGGGGAGCTGGTGCCTCATGTGAAGACGGACACCATGATGAGTCACTTAGACCGGTGTTTGCATGTAGTGCAACAGCTTTTAGCATTAAGAGCTGCATTTTCTCCTTCTGTTTTCCTCCTTTCAGCAATGATAACAGATAATATCTGAGTTGTAAACTGTAGTGTGCATTGATACATCTTTTGGAGCTTTTGAAGTTTTATGCGATGATGATTACTATCCTTGTTACTCACAGTTGTGCAGTCTATGTGTCCTTTGAAATGTAATGGTGTAACAGCATCCATGGTGTGTAGTCTTAGAATATGCTTTAAAACATGAAATGATTGATATAAAGATGGTGCTGTAAACATTTAATTACGTAAACCTATTACTGTAGATTTGTAACCGATAATTTCAATAATTGTGTCAGATGTTGTAGTGTGTGTTCTGGTTTTGTCTCCAGATATAAAGTAATCAGAAGGATAATGCTAGTTAGTCACTGGCCTTTGGACCAGCTATGTTTTGATATTACCAGGAGTTAATTCTGTGTGGTTTTGATGTGTTATTTACACTTCTTTTTCATTTCCTGGAATAATTGCAGACAGGCTTGTCAGAAATGTAAAACTAGAGCTCTGGTTTATGACCACAGAAGTGAAGCAGTTTAAAAGGCAGATCAATAATTCAAACTCGTTCAATTTTCAAAAATAAATACAAGTTTAAAGCATTTCAATAATATTTATTGTTGGATTTTGCCCATGAATTTTTACATTATTATACACATATTTCTTAGTTCCTTATTTTCTTGGTCCTGCAAAAAAGCAGCACTGAGGAAATCAGTTAATTTTAGAGCAGCACAGTTTTCTTTTACTATATAATAAAGGAATTTATCAGAAAATGAAGTTAATTGTATGGCCTATTTTGGAGATAGAATCAAATGCAGGTGTACTTCAACATGATAATACTGGAGCATCAAAAGAAGTCTTGCCAGGCATGAACAAAGCAGAAAAACAAACCTGGTGAAAACCACAGTAATAAGGCTCTTAGGAACCTTTCTCTGAAGGCAGAAAAATTAAAAAAAAAAAAACAGAAACAAGTTCGAAGAAGGCTATTCTTCTAGCAAAGGCTACAATGAAGAGTAAAACTAATAAGAAATAACATCTCATATTTTATGGACATCAAATTTAGTTCCAGTTACAATCCAAGGAGCTTTACAGAAAACATGTTTCCCTCATGATGGACCTAATGAAATGGCACGGACTATTGCTATATCTGTTCCTAATTGTTGTGTCCCACTTTATGTTGTAGGAAACTGAGCTATCAGGTGGTATTACAACAGGAATGTAATTCAGCAATAGTACAGTGAAAATTCATTTGCAGAATAAAAACGTAGCACTGGTGGAAGCTCAGCACCTTCTTTGTAAAGGGGAAGAGATGACTAGTTTGTGTTGTCTCACATCTATGGTTTCTGGAGAAAAAGTGTGTACAAGATTTTCAGACTGCCTATTTAAGAGCACTTGGTTCGCAGTCAATACTGATTTGCTTTGACTTCCTCTCACAATGTATCTGTTTTAAAGTTGCAACAGGATGTGACAGGGGTCAACATAGTCTCCTGCAGAATAACAGTAGTAGTTTGAGTGACAGGAGACTAAATACCGATATGAGAACACCTTCAGAATGATTTTTGCAAAATTTGACAAATCAAGTGTAATCTGATACTAATGGAAATAAAACTAATGGATCAGTCCTAAGTTTAAAACTCTCTTTGCCTTTGTTTTGATAGAGTTCCTTACAGACAGGGGAGTCAGAACAAGTATGTGCCAATCCTCAGAAGACAAGCCAAAAAGCAAAAGCAGCCTCGTATTTCAGTAGCAGCAACAACAAGGTTTCGTCTAATCAATCACAATTAAGTCAAGCATCAGAACAGCAAACATCTAAGAAGTCAGGTGAAAAGTTAATACTTTATAAACCAGTGGAGTTTTTTTCAAAATATACATAAGGAATGCTTTTTGAAATGTGTGAGGGAAAGTTTGACAAGAAATATATAGCATGTTGAGCAAATACTCTAGTGAATACCTAAATAGTTCCAGAAATATTTGTGCTCCATTTTACAGAATGCACATTTTGTTTATGTTCATCAGTCTTTCAGCATTGTGGTTGAGGGAATGCAGGATTTTAAGTGAAAGCTTCAAGTTCAGCCTTACTTAAGTATCTTACATAAACAGCAGTTTAAAATAACATTAGATCGGTCTTTATTTGTTTTACGTGTCACAGATCAAAGAACAGGGCCCTCCATATATTTGGCACACTAAGATCCACTTACATTTTATGGAATATAATAATATATAGGATATATCCTCATCAGGCACAAATCAGCATGAACCCTGATTTTACTGGTGCCTCTGGGTTAGTTTAGATACAAACCTAATTCCATGAGAGTAAGGATCTAACATCCTCCAGTAGTTGTATTCTCTTCTGCCTGCACATGCAGCTTTTTGTTTAGCATTTTCGTCCCATGTCTAAGATTTGCATTTATCTTGTAGCCTTAGCATCACAATAGAGCCCTACTCCAACTCATCTTAATCTCTATAGATTTTCACTTACTGATTTTTTTGATAAAGCTGGCACTCATGGTGTGTACTTTGGTTCTTTCTGGAACCAGAGAACCATGGTACTCAAGACTTCCTAAAACAAAAACCTGTAGTTCTGATAGCATCCCTCATCTCTTAAAATCTGTTTTTCCTCCTATGATTTTTTGCTGTTATGATTTTAAAAAGCTTTGTTTCAAACGTGTCTTATATTTTGGTCTCCTCTGGGATAGCATGTCCAAGGCTACTTTTTTCCACGTAAGAGATTCTTCAGGTAATATTTTATTTGATAAAATTAGTTATTTCCTTCATACCAGGAGAGTGTTGCCATTTCAATGGTGGTGGAAGCCACCTTCGTACAGTTGAAGGCCTTAATCAATTTGGAGTCCAGGACAATGGCATTCAGATTGATGTAGAAATAAAGCTGGAAAATGAGATGATGTTTTCTGACTTGTGAGTTTTCAGATTTTTTGCTGTCCTACATTTTTTGTCATTAACTGGCCTTTTTATCTCATCTGATTGTTTCTATGTCCCACTGGTCTTCCTTATATTCCTTCTATTTTCGTTCCTTCTATTATTGAATAAAAATATTTTCTTCATAAGTGACACAGTATCACTTTCATCTACAGTCAGTTGTTTACTAGGCTCCCAACGTTTCCATTCTGCTTATATAGAAGGAAGGTACAAACAGCTTGCTTCTTCTCTTATAGTTCAACCTGTGGAAATAATTGCTCATAGACCCATGTGGAGGTATTGAAGGACAATGTCCTTGAAGTTGCTGAGGTATGTCAACCTAATCCAACTTGATTACTGGTTATGGTAATCTCTTCATTTTATCTTTGTACTGTGCTGACTGGACTTCATATTTGCCAAGATCTGGATGTTTCCTTCGTATGACCCACCTGGCAATGCATCCCACAGAGAACCAGTATTTTGTATTTCACATCATTGTCCCATCATGCTTCTGCAAGTGTTTCCTAACAGCCATGAAGCAAACCGTTGTGCATGACAATTTAACTGGAAAACTTTGCAATTATTTCTGTTCACTTGCAGCCAGTATTGCTAAGGTTCATTAGCTTAATGGGCTGTTGTATACCCTTTCTTTTCTTCAACGTTTCTAAAAAGTCCCTAGGACATTCACTCATGAATTAAAAGGGAAGAAAAGGAAAAATCTGAAAGCAGATGATTGCTTTGGGAGTTCAGACTCAGAAGCTTTTAGACAAAAGACAATACATTATGGTAAAGCAGGTCTCAAATTGGAGGACTGTTTTAATAATATGATGCCTTTGTGTGCTCTAGAATCTCAAGTTTTCATTTAAAAAAGGAACTCTTGAGTATTTTTGTTGCCAGTATAGTGTAGACCAAGCAGCATCAGTGCAAAGAGATTTGCCTGAATGCTTTCTCACAGGTTTGAACAGGCTACAGTGAACAAGCTCGTTTAAAACCAATAGTCTTTCATATTCTTCCAAATAGTCTTGTACAACAAGATCCGTAGTGTACTTTGAAGGAAACATTGGAAAAGCCAATTTTCTGGAAGCCAGGAGGTACCTGAAGAAAGGCAGCTGTCAAGTACAGAAGACGTTTGATACTAATGGATAATGCTGACTGGAAATATTTGAGAAAAGAGCTTGTTTGATGAGACGAGGAAGATGCAGCAACTAATTGTTCAGAGGAATAAAAGGAAAAAAACCCCAAAAACCATGGATAAGAGTTGCAGAATGCTAATTTAAAACCTTAAACTTCTTTGAATAAATTACATGTTTTCAAGAAATCAGACAAAGAACACTGCAAAGTTTTAAAATATATCTGGATGATAATGTAAAAGAAGGAACAGGAGTTTAAAAGATAGATAGATAGATTAGATAGATAGATAGATAGATAGATAGATAGATAGATCTTTAGAAAATTTATATATCCTGTCTCGTTGGTAGCATTTTGAGGAGGGGGTTGCCCTTACTCTGTACACATCATAAGTACTTTGTTAATCTCTTTTTTCTGTTGCATCTCATAGAATTTAGTAGATCTATTATCTGAAACTTCAGAATTAGAACCTCTCTGATGACCACATACTATCATTAAAGGGAATGTTGTTTGCTTTGTGAACCAATAAGGATTAAATCAAGTTTATTTGCAATTATGGGTCTAGTTGTGCGCAGGTTTAAATGACAGATTATCTATGCCACTAAACACTACTTAAAGACTTATAATCAGTCTACAGTAGTTTTTCACATCACAGTTGTAAAAAAAACTTCTCTGTGTGTGTATATATATATTTATCAAGCTGCATATACATACCTATCTATATCTATCTATATATTTATGTGTATCAATCACACACCTGTATTTTTCCTGATACAGAATTAGGAACTGATAAGGAGTGGTGCTCAAGTCTCCACTTTTTAAATAGTTTTTAAAGTATCTATATGTATGTAGTTTATATATTTAGCAGCCTGGTGACCTGAAACCAGTCCATGGAGAAACCTGACATATTCTCTACCTCTATACAATATAAAATTTCAACCTTTTAACCTTTCTTGTGGCTTCCTGTTTTGTTGTACCCTTGTTGAATAATCTAGGTTTTAACTGGAAATTCTTAAGTATAGAATCTGCTTGTTATCTGACCTGTTGCACAGGACCTTCTACAGTTCCTTTTAACTTTTTGTTATAGACAGTCAATGTTATTGAATAATTTGAGTGACAGTGTTACACACATTTACAGTAATTCAAATGAATTATGGAGTTTAATTTTCTGTTTATACTTATGCATTCTTTGTGAAAATAATTTCTAATGAACACCTAATGTTTAGAATCTACCAGGGAAGAAGCTGTAATTGTTCATGGTACCCATAAGAAAAGAGCTGGGAGAAAGACGAAAATTAGGAGAAATGCAACAGGGGAAACTCGGCTGCACATTGCTGCTAAGAGAGGAGATGTGTCTTTGGTGAAAACTCTAATATCATCTGGAATTTGTGTCAATGAACAGGACTATGCAGGTTTGAAAATTCCTCTGTTACAGGCTTGTTTTGAACTACAGTTTTATATAATCCATAATATAGACATATTATATGTCTATATTATATAATTTGCGTGATTTTGATAAAATTACAGATTCTTGGCTTAAAATTTTGAGGAGGAAAGGAAGCCATTAAACAAGTGCAAGTACACTGTATGAATACAGGTTATTGTGTCAGCATGGAGGTAATGCAGACTGTTTCTCAGCAGAGTCTTGTTACTCTGCTGAAGAGCACGTTTTCAGAGATGTGTACAGAAAGGACCTTGAAAGTTTGATGGAGTTTATGTGCATCAGTATATGCATGTGTGAAGCACATTCAGACAGATCTTATTTCCTTGGGAAATAAGAACAAAAACCAGATGACAAGAATATGTTTTCATTTTTCTTACCTAAATATATAACATGCTTCTGTTTTCATAGTCTCAAAATGGATACTATTCTATATTAGATGTCTGGCAGACTTGATATTATAAAATGCTACTGGTATTAGAAATCAGATTATTAATATTGTGCTTCTGAGTTTTTAAAGTTTTTCTTCTCCAATGTTTCGTTTCTTCTATTATTTTTAATACTGCAGTAGAAAAGAAAGCCATGTCTTTCTCTTTAATACTGGGTGTTTTTCTTTGATGTAAACTGAATTACACACAAAATAGTTTACCTTGGCATTTCAAAATGATTGCTTGTGTCAGATTTATCTTAAATGCAGCAAAATGTACAGTTACTAATTAGTGAACTTCGGAACTTTCCAAATCAGATGCATACCGCATGTGTTATCTTGCTTTTATTAGGTTGGACAGCAATTCATGAAGCCTCTAATGGAGGATTTACTGATGTGATCTTAGAATTACTGAAAGCAGGTGCTGATGTTAACAGCAGAAGTCTCTGTGGTGTTTTACCAATACACGATGCTGTTTCTGGCAATTATTTGGAGGTATATTTTTCTTTTACATAAGATTTCCTAACACCAATTTCCAACAGAGGGTCAGCAAAGCAAAATCCTCATTTCTTTAAAGTTAGTAACAAAATTTTAGGGTAGGTTTGCATTTAGGAAGTAAACCAGTGTTCTTTAAAGTGGTCAAAAATTAGAGAAAAATATTCTTCAGAGTGATGGTTGAAATTGTACAGTTGGTTGACTTCTTTAATACAACAGACAAATCATAAAAGTTCAGTAACCCTCTGCCGTTCTGTGTCAGGTTTGGGCTTCTTACAAACAGTATTAAAGTTGAACATTCTCAATTTATTGATAGTTCAGTGCTGCCACAGATGGGAATGATGCATTTCACACTTATGAGAGAAGCAATAATACACTTTATTGATATAAAATATTGATATAAAATAGTGAATTAACAAAGTTTACTGATGTGACAATTATATTGTTTACTGCATAGAGAACAGGGTCCCAACTGTAAGGAGGGACCTCCTGCTAAGTCGTGATGTTCAGAAAGGACCCCCTTGCTTTCTAAACTCCTCAGATGGCTAGATCCAGACTTCATGCCAGACTCAGTCAGCAGTTCATGTGTAAAGGGCTATATGTGCACAGTCATAAAGGACTATAAGTGCACAATCAATCCTTTCTATCACTTAGCTAAGATTTCAAAGTTTAGTGTCAATTACTGAAAATCTGTTGTGACAAGGAATTTCTCTGTCTTGAGGAGTAACGCTGAGATGTGTCTCTACTCAAGGGACAGCCCATTGCTGTGTGAGAGAGCTCAAGGGGCCCTGGGCTGTGCACTGTTTATGAAGTAAGGTGATTGATTTATGGTCGTATTTGCATACTAATAAGATGCCTGGCTCAATGTTGACAATGCCCTTTGTCCCCCCCCACCGCTCCCAGAGTAGGCTGGATGCAAATATCACTGCTGCCCCTGCTGGTTGTGGCTGAAGCAGGAGAGGAGAGTAGCACGTAGCCATAAAGCCCCCAGTTATGGATGGGACATTTTTCACTAGCTCAACTTGCCCAAAGCCCTGTCCTATCGAACTTCAAACATTTCTTGAGATGGGGTAACCACAACTTCTTTGGCTAATCTCTTTCAGTGTCTCACTACCTTCACTGTAAAAAAATTATTTTTGAGAAGAACATATCCTAGGCCGTTGTTTAAAAATAAACAATTTTTTATTAACTTGTCCCTTCAAACTCAAACCATTCTGTGGTTTTAGAAAACAGATTATTTCAGTTAGAAGGGACCTACAATGATCATCTAGTCCAACTGCCTGATCCCTTTGGGGCCAACCAGAAGTTAAATCATGTTAACATTGTCCAGGTGTTCCTTAAACATTGACAGACTTTGGACACTGAGCACCTCTCTAGGAAACTCTTCTAGCACAGCTTAGGCCCATTCCCACTCATTTATAACTGGATCCCAGGGAGAGAAGATGAATATCTCCCTCCCCACTTTCTCTGCTCAGGAAGCTGTAGAAAGCGGTGAGGTCACCCCTCAGTCTCCTTTTGTCCAAACTAGACAAGCCCAAAGCCCTTAGTGGCTCCTCACAGGACACCTCTCCCGACACTCTCACAAGCTTTGTTGCCCTCCTCTGGACACATTCAAGGAGCTTCACATTCTTCCTAACTTGTGGTGCCCAGCACTGCACAGAAATAAATAAAATGTTCTTTTGACAGAGTGAGTTTTGGGGAACTGAAGTGTAAAGGTGATGCCAGATTGGCTCAAACATAGTTCTACTTCTGTCAGGACAATTCATGTTTCGTCACATTTATCTTTTTCTGTGAGCAAGGGTAAAACAAAAGGGATGCTTTCACAGGCTTGGAGCCAAATTATCAGTAGGGTTCTTGCAAAGATGTAAGTGTATTATTCAGTATTTTGGGGGAGAATCAACAGAGAACATCCTCAATATCAGAACAATGTTGTTCTGATGCCTTTTCCTACTTAACTGCACTCTAAGTGTAAGAAATAAGAAGAAATGCTAAAGCTGAGAAATCATACATATGAAAATTCTTTTATCATCCAAGCTCTGACCTCATCAGTACTTTTATACGATCTGAATTTAGGGGGTAGATGATTCCACTGATGCCGCTAGTCTCATTTCCACGTTTTACAATGAAGCAAACTTGCAAGTTTTTTGGAATTAGGAAAAAAATTATCGGTTCACGAAACCAAAAACAGTATTAAAGAAAGATAATGCACTTCTATTCTGCACTTTGGTCTTAATGCAATTGGCCAGTTCCTTTTAATTTAGATACCTGGTGTTTTGTAATTGTTCTGTATGATCATGAAATCATAAAAATTACATGTTGTGAAAATTTGTGAATTATTTGTATATTTTAATGAAGAAATATAAGATAGAAATCTGTGTTGATAATAGCCAATTATCTGTTTTGTTTAATTTGGATTGCAAATATAACAATTGTAGAGTATCTTACTTGAACCTGTATTATTTGTATGTCTTATGTATGTATTACTTGTGTAAGTCTGAAACAAGAATTAGCACTATACAAATAACAAAAATGCATATTAGGCAGCCAGGATTCTGCTGCAGCATGGAGCAAATCCCAATGAGAGGAATGGTTCAGGAGAGAGTGCTTTGAATCAAGCTTGTAGTGAAGAAATGAAAGAACTGCTGAAGTCTTATGGTGCTATGGACTCTGTTCCTATTCAAACTGTTGAAGTTTCTGGTATGTTAGTTTTGTAATATAAATCATAGGATTATCCAGTAGTCTTAAGGCAAAAATCATACATTCAAAGTATGACACTGATATTTTTTAATTTTATTAACTACTGAATGCTATTTATTTATTTATTTACAGAAAATAAGATGCATGAATGGGTTTTGTTTTTTTCTGAGAGAATGAAGTAAAATAACATACTTGGCTGTTCAGATTTTTGCTATTATCCATATTTCCCTTCACAGGAAGGGAAATAAGTAATTTAGAAAGTGGTATCTTTCATTTCTGTACGTTACCTAAATTTGATCTCTTTTGCATATACTCGATACTTTTCAGTAGTTGATCTGCCATAACGTCTTTGCAACCTATATTAGCTAATCCACCCTATGATGCTCCTGCAAATTAATTTTAAATTTTATTTATTTTTTCTTAATTGTGGAGAGGTGAAGTCAAAACATCATTGTTATGACTGTCATAAAAACGATGATGCAGCTTTGGAGACACAACATGAGAACTATAGTGTGGTAAGTATAGATAACAGTTTTGTTAAACTGCTCTGTGGTGTACGACTGCATAGAGACATTTGCTTACTGAAAAATGTAGTATATAATATAATTTAAAAAGAAACCATTAAATAGAAATAAAAACAGCATCATGCAGAGAGTTATAGTAGATAAGTTGTGGTTTACATATATTAATATGTTTATTGTCACCTCTCTCTGTTCATTATTCCTGTGCATTTAAATTTATTGTGCAAACAGTAGTCAATACTGACACACATTTCTTATTGCTTATAAAAATAGAAAAAAGGTCTTGAGTTCTGAAGCTTTAAGCATGTTTCCAGAATGGCTCTTTTTGAAACAGTAATGAATTGTCATCAAAATGATGAAGGTATTCAGATACTGTTTCTCTTAAAACAACAAGGAAGATTTTTGCACAAGTTGTTAGCTCTTCCTGGTGTCTGTAACCTATGTTTACATTGTCTGGATGATTCTGTCATGATGAAATTCACTGTCCAATCTTTGCTGTGCATTCAGAGGTTTCTGGAGGACTCCGAGCACGGACTAGTTTGAATGCCACAGCAAACCCGGGCTGTGACAGCCCCTTGCAGAGCAATGTTCTTGACACTATGTACTTCTGTCCTACCAGGGCCCCATTGCCTTTACACAGTAATTCCCAGCCTGGAATGACTTGAGTCCACCAATATCTAAACTGCAGGCCATGTACCATGGCTTGTTTTGTACGGTGCACTTGTCTCTAATTCTTACAGTAATTTCTGTGTTTGTTAACAGGAGTCTGTTGCTGCTGTACAGGATACAGAAAAGAAGCAGGAAGAACTCTTGCTGTTTGAGTTGAGAACTTCCAAAGATGCAGGTAGACATAATTGAAGTGTTTCACCTATTTTTAGTGGATAAATAGCTTTGGCAATATAACTGTTTTTAAAACATTATTGCGCATAATATATTTGAATATCTCCTCTGGAAAATACAGCTTCAGAGAATAAGATTTTAATAACACTTCTCAGGTGTGGGCACTTCCTGAGAAGGAATTCTATTGCACAGGAGTGAATATTATGACAAAAAAGAGAGGCATGCCACTTGGAGGCATGTGTCTCAAGTCAACCTAATCATATAAAAAGGGATCATTAATTAAGAAAGCATACTTCTGATAGCATTATTCAGTCATGAGCACGTGAGCCCCTGCATGATCAAGAGCAGCTATGTCTGTATGTAAAGTAGCAGATGCAGCATTTTCATTCTGGTGTGGCTGGACTTTCCAGGACCCTGAAATAATTTATGAGAGGAAAAAAGAGAATTCTTTACAGCAGACAGTGTGAATGATGGGCAGTTTCAGAAATGCTGATTCCCAGGGGTGTAATTTGTCTTAGGCTATCAAATCTCAGTTCAGATTAATCTCAAGAATTTACTAAGCAACAGTGACTTCCTAGGCGGTCATGATGCTGCTCCTGTGTAGCTGTTGGAGTCTATTGTACCCGTGCCACAATGCTTCAAGAGGCGTAGCTTGCTGCCAGAATGCCTTTGACCAAGTTCTCTCTCCTCAGCTGCCCTTCCCTATCTAGGCAGGGCTGTTTAATTGGAGCATCTCATACTTATAAAATGGTTTTGCTTCCTGACAGAAAGAAAGGCTTTGTTTTTAAATTTATATTCCTAAATAGAGACTAGAACTTTCAAATGGTATTTACAAGTAAATCTAGCCCTTCAAAAATAAATGTGAAATATGGAATTATGTGGATTGAAAACTCAAATTTATCGTGTATGGACTGTTAGTTAAAATAGATATTTTCTTGAAAAATGTTTGACATATTGGTAGATGATACAATAGACAGATGCCTGTGTGCAGACATGAGTGCAATTTCATGAATGAGCAAAAGGAACTATCAGACTTCTCCTTTTCAGGGCTAGTCAGGCTTCTCCTGTTCAAGGGTATGAGAGAAATTGACATGGTGATCTGTTTCCGATACTGACAAAAGCATTAGTAATGTAGCACCTCTTAAACTAAGTCGTAGTCATCACTATTGATGAGGCACAAGACTAAGTAAGTATTTAGAATACACTGACAAACTAAAAAGTAAAGTAAAACCTCAAGGTATTTCCATGCAGTAAAATCTGCTATAAATAACAGATTCAAATTTTCTATTAAACTGCCTTAATAAGAGCAATATTTCGTATTATTAAGTAGGCAAATACTGGTAGGTACCATGAAAAAGGTGTGGGGAAGCATATTATTAATTTCAATTTAATACAGTAATTTCTCATTTTTCCTGATTATGTAAAGCTTACATAGACTTTTAGAATTTCAGGAATTAGGTTACAATTTTAGCAAATTATCCCAGTGGTATCCACTGGTTGTGACTTCTAACCCTCATGTTATATGTCTAAGATATACGGTATATAAAGAAGAATGTATAATTGTCTCCTTTATCATTTAACTTTATTATATGACTTAGAAACTATGTAAAACTGGGATAGATATGCTTTTACCTTTGTATATCACTTGAAACAGTCTAGCTATTGCTTCATTACGAAATTGATTAAGCTATTTCATATTACTTCAAATGAAAGTTTTAGGCACCTTGTTAAGATTGTGTAACTTCTGCAGGTAGCCTCAGTATAACTGTTACATTATGTAGCTACTTGCGACACAAAGAGCTTAAAAATTTTCAGAGTTTACCAGTTCTTTAATTTCTTCTTTCTTCTCTTAGTAATTTCCTGAACAAGGTGTTTGCACTTCAAAATATTTCAGTACTTCAGCTAATTTTTCTAAAGTGAAACTTGTATTTAATTCTTTCTATAATAATTTCGTTATAAGTACTCCAATTGTAAGGAGCTACCAGCATGAATTACAGTATAAGGAACTGCTCTAACAGTGTCTTCATTCTTTGGCTGTGTATTTGCTACACTGAAAATGCTATTAATGTAATTATTTTCTACTTCTTATTGCCATTATAAGTTTGATTATTTCAAAATATTGAACAGATGTGTATATACGAAGGCTGTCTCAGATACAAGATAATTTGAATGAAATACTTGCAAACCAGAAAACAGAGAGGGATACCCTTGCTAAAAAATACAGGTAAGTAGAATACAAGGGTTGTATTCATAGAAAGCTATTCTTTGCAGTAGTAGTGATAGAAGTTGTTAGGAGATCAGGGTATAGTGGCATAAAAGTAAATCTGTGTGATTTTCATTCAGACTTTTTGGAAGCATGATCAGTACTGGCTTCAGTTACCTCAGTTACATGAAAGAACTTCAGAATTTAGCTAATGCATACTAATCAATTGTTGTGCTCATAGTGAGCATTGAAATGAGGTAGTGAACAATACAAAATGTTTGAAAAACACAGAATCACAGAATATGCTGCGTTGGAAGTGACTCACAAGGATCATCGAGTCCAACTCCTACCCTGCACAGCGCTATCCACATCCACCACGTGCCTGAGAGCAATGTCCAAACACTTCTTGAACTCTAGCAGGCTTGGTGCTGTGACCACTGCCCTGGAGAGACTGTTCCAGTGCCCAGCTACTTCTGTGTGAAGAACCTTCAACCTACACCTCCCCTGACATAACCTCAGGTCATTCCTTCCGATCTTGTCACTGGTCACCACAAAGAAGAGATCAGTGCCTGCCCCTCCCCTTCCCCTCACAAGGAGAGGATGTAGACTGCCATGGGGTCTCCTCTCAGTGTCCTCCAGGCTGAACAGATGAAGTGACCTCAGCCACTCCTCATACAGCTTCCCCTCAAGGCCCTTCAGCATCCTCATTGCTCTCCTCTGGACCCTCTGTAGCCTTACCTTAGGCTATTGTGGCAGCCAGAACTGTCCCCAGCACTCGAGGTGAGGCTGCCCCAGTGCAGAGCAGAGCAGGACAATCCCTTCCCTTGCCTGGCTGGTGATGCTGTGCCTGATGTCCCCCAGGACACAGGTGGCCCTCCTGGCTGCCAGGGCACTGCTGACTCATGTTCAACTTGCCACAGACCAGGACCTCCAGGTCCCTTTCCATGTTGCTGCTTTCCAGTCTGTCATTCCCCAGTCTGTCCATATGTCCAGGATTGCCCCATCCCAGGTGCAGAATCCATCACTTCCTTATTGAACTTCACATGGTTGGTGATTGCCCAATCTTATGATTTGTTGAGATGCAACAGGGCCTCTCTGCAAGGCCTTCCTTCTCCAGAGAGAGTCAACAGCTCCTCTCAGTTTTGTCTTGTTAGTGAACTTGACTAGTATCCCTTCCAGTTCTGCATCCAAGTCATTAGTGAAGATTGTTGAATAGCACAGAGCCCGAGATGGAGCCCTGTGGCAAGTCACCAGTCTGATGTTACCCCTTTCACTAGGAGCCTCTGAGCCCAACCTATGAGCTAGTTGCTCACTCATTGTGTGATAGGTTTATTCAACTGTGTGCCAGACATTTTGTTCAGAAGGATCCTGTGAAAGACAGTACCAAAAGCTTTACTGAAATCTAAAAAGATTACATCACCTGCCTTCCCTTGATCAGCTAGATGGCTTACCTTGTTGTAAAAGGAAATCGGGTTTGATAAGCAGGACTTCTTCCCTCATGGAGCCATGATACATAAGCAGAAGTTAGAAAATGGGGATATTGAGCAATTACATTCATTTTGCAGTATCATGGAAGAAAGTAGTAGCAACTCAAGATGTTACTTGGAGGGTCTCTGCCTCTGATTTATTTCTTTAGGACTCCTCGAATGGAGTGTTCTACCAATGGCCAACAAGAGCCATTTAGAGAAATGGCTGAGCCATTTAGAGAAATGGCTTGAAGCATGCTTGCAGATATTCATTCTTTTTGTGAGAAAAATTGAAAAGTGAGATAGGATTGCTCATCTTAGTGTGAGCATGGACTGTGTGAATTAGAAGCTTCATGATGCTAGCTCTCACAAGGCTTCTTTTTACTTCCTTTTGAGAAGGACTCAAGGTTGGTCATGTGGTGAGAGCCTACCTAACAATGCAGCATCCTCTTCAACAGATTCCTCTAGGCCAGCTGATGAGGATGTTTCCATTCTTGCTTGTGTGGGCAGGATTTGGTTGGTCATGTAAAAGCAGCAGCATAAAGCTTTCAGGTAGTCCCATGGCAAAATATAAAAGGTTGTTGAGAAAAGAGACTGAAATATTTCTGTCACGAGCCATTTTGCCAGCTATAAAATGTAAGATTACACAGATAATTTAAAAAATAATAAAAAATACTGAACATCTTATTTTAAATTAATTGGCTTATAACTTTTGTCACACAAGCCATGGAAGATCATCACATTTTCCATCTTCCAGTTGCTCAGTTAGTTGTCTCAGAGAGAGATGCTACTTCCATTGTTCTTTTTCTGTACTAAGATGTAGGTATTAGCATCTTGTGTACTAAGGTACTAAGATATATCTTCTACTTGAGAAAAATTAGCAAAAAAAGAAGTATTGTATTTGTTAGTGGATGAAAGTTACTTTGTCCTTTTAGTCACACTGTCTTTGCCTCTTCAGTTGCAGCTTTTTCTGTACTTGTATAGCAATAGAACAATAAAACTTCCCAGAGCAAAAACTGCTAGAAGAGTGTGTGAAAGTTTCACTGGCCTGTGTAGAAGTCCAGAGCTGTCATGGATTACTCAGTGATATGCTGATGGTACATGTATAAGCGCATGAGATACCAAGCAGTACCACACTACAGACAGCTATACTGTCAAACTGTGTTTTTTCTGTCCTTGTTCTGAGCCATCTAGTCTTAGTGTATCTTTGTCCTGATCCCCTCAACAGTCTCTTTTGAGACTGGAATGGTGTTACCTGCATGGCACCTCTGCAATGGGTGGCCTTAAAAGCAAACCATACTGCAGCTTCTTTCCCCACAACTTGTGTTACTTCTCTATCTTCCTAAAATTGTGCCACAGTGGTAGTGATACCACTTATCCCATGAAGGGAAATTAGGAGAAAAGAGTGTTATGCTGAGTTGATGGCTCTTGTACTGAAAAAAGTGGGTTAAATAAAGAATTCCCTTCCACCAGAAAGGAGGTAAAGTCCCCCAGGGAAGGGGTCTGACAGGAAGGAGGCTCAGTCTGGGAACAGGATCTGATGAAGGGTGCAGCATTCCTAGATTACACATGCAACATCCTGAACTGTTCTGTCCTCTTTACTTAAAGGTCATGTGGCATTATTACAATGGTAGCTTTATGAAATCTTTTGTTATGTACACCATAAAAAAATCCTTACAGTATCATACAGTATCCTTCAGGAGCTTATACTGAACTAATTTTAAAAGGCTACAAAGCAGACCTTCAATACATGGAATTCAATGTGCTACTATGATTTGTGGTGATAAAAGCAGTTGGTGATACTGCAGGCACAGTTTTGATTCTTTGAATTAAGGGTGGTATAGGAGTATATATCCTGTGAATTAGGGAGTGGTATAGGCAAGGCTATTTCTGAAGTTTTGATGATTAACATTTTAATTCTATGGGATTCCCACTTGCTTTATTCTGTATCCTACTACGGGATTCTGCACTTTGTTGTCCATAAACCTGGGATTTGAACATTAAACGCCATACATGATAAAAATATTGTTCAAATTTTAAATGTTGGATGAGTTCTTTGGAACATATTCTTGTTCTTTGTGAGTTATGTCTATCAAACTGTTTTAATTTTGTATTTACAGTAACTCCAATATCCTTATTTTTCATTTTCTATAGGGCTTCAGTGGAATCATTTAAAAAAGGTGCACTAAGGAAACAATTAGTTTACCTTGCTTCTAGGCAAAAGAGCCTGTTGACTGTTGCCCAAAACCAGGAAAAATTAGTGCAGAAAATACAAAATTTCAGAAAAACAAAGCAGACGTTCAATTCATCATCAGAGAAGCAAATCTCAGACTTAGTTATTTTTCATGGAAGTGATGCAAGACAAAGTTTAACTGCTAATGAAATCATATGTCCTAATGCAGTAACATTTAGTATGGGGCTTGATGCCAGCACGCCTAATGGAAACAGAGTTGAAGCACATGTCTCTTTAGAAAATAGATTTTCAGCTCGGGAGTGCATCCAGCATCCACACATCTGCTTGGATGAGACAGGAGCAAATAAAGAAGCAATTGCAAGGAAAGAGGCTTCTGATTGTGCTTTGGCATCTGAAAACTGGGTAAGAGACCATCCCTTTGACAACATGTCAAAGCTGACAAATGCTGCAGAAGTGATGACATTGCCTTCAGAACCTATTATTTCCACTGCTAAAACAAAGTGCTCACAGCAAAAAGACATTGATTGTGTAGCAATTGTAGGACAAAGAAACAAGTCTTTAAATCCCACTTCCAACACATTAAATATTGTAGAACCCCGAAGCACTGTTGGCAATAGGAATGTCTATCAGACAAGTAGTGACTGCAAGCAGGTTCTTTCACATGAAGATCTGCACAGATATGTGAATAAAGAATCTTTACAGCAGCAGCCGCAGCAAGCAATTTTGTTAGCATCTACAAAGAACTTCTCTAATACTTTGCAGCAAATGGTCTTTCAGAGTGGNAAGAAAGAATCTTTACAGCAGCAGCCGCAGCAAGCAATTTTGTTAGCATCTACAAAGAACTTCTCTAATACTTTGCAGCAAATGGTCTTTCAGAGTGGTGAGAATTCATTTAATGCCAACCCGATGCTTACTAATCTTACCTCAAATACAGACTCTTCAGCAAATACCAGTAAGAAATCTTCACAGAGTTATGCTAACCAGGAATGGGAACAAAAACAAGTGACATATGGATGGAAGAGTAAGAAAAAGCATGAGTTGATCGATCTGCTTGAATTAGGAAGGATAAAGCCCGGAGAAAATGTTCTAGAATTCAAGCTGCAGGTAATTGTTGAGAAATATTAATATTAGTGGATAATGGAAATAATCCACACATGAAAATGGGGAAACAGCAGGTCGCACGGTTTAGTCTGCATCTTCATCACTTTCTAATGAATATTTTTATTCATTGGTTATAGATAACTCTTCATCAGTTTAAAAGAAAAATGAGATGAAGTCTTCTGTTAGCCTGTAATTTTAAGACCCGGAATATTGCATAAGTAAAATTTATGTTTAAATTTGTGTTACCAGTTTACTAATATTTCTTATTGCTGGAACCAGAGTTGAATCTTTGGCTGATCTACATTGTGTAATACGTAGGTTTTGTACTGAAAGGAGCAGGAATGTAATTGTTGTTATGACTTAATGTTATTCTTGGAAACAACTTTCAAGTCCCTCAAAAAATGTGACATCAAGGATTTTGTAGTGCTGTAATAGGCATGAATATATGCAAAATTATTTGATTGCATGCTTGCTGGTTCTATAAACATACAGTATGGTATGAACCAAATTTGAAAAAAAAAAAGAAAACCCTTTTTTAATACAAAAGCATTTCGCTGTCCCTCCAAATACAGAGCAGATTTGCACAGCAGCTGCCAGAGGCCTGGCTTAGTATTGAGCATATGAGAGACTCATTAACTGAGCTCCCAGATGTGAGCTAGTGTCGTGATTTGGCACTGGCCAAATGCCAGGCACCCACAAAAGTTGCTCAGCTGGGCAGAGGAGAGAGAAAAATTTAATGAAAGCTTCAAAGATAGAGATAAGGACCAGGAGAAAACACTCCAAGGGCAAAACAGGCTCAACTTAGAGATGCAGAATAAAGTAAATTTATTACTATCAAAATCAGAGAAGGACAATGAGAAAAAAAATGAGTCTTTAAAACACCTTCCTCCAGTACCCTCCTTCCTTCCCACCAACAGCACAGGGAGACAGGGTGTGGGGATTTTGGTCAGTTCCTTGCCCGTGGTTTTCTTCTGCTGCTCAAGCAGAGGAGTCCTCCCCTGTAAGACCACGGACCACAAGACACAGATCTCCATGAACTTCCCAGCATGGTTCCAATCTCATGAGCAGCACTCCTCCCAAAACTGCTGTGGCCTGGGTCACTCTTCCACAGGGTGCAGTCCTCCAAGGACAGGCTGCTCCAGCCTGGAAGCAGGGCCCCCTCTCTCTCCTGGGTCTCCCACAGGATCACAGCCTCCTGCAGGTATCCACTTGCTCTGGCATGGGCACCTCCCACGTGGGCTTTGGGTGGATCTCTGCATCCCCCGTGGATCCCCACGGGCTGTGGGTGGATCTCTGCATCCCCCATGGATCCCCATGGGCAGCAGGGCACAGCTGCTTCACCATGGTCTCACCATGGCCTGCAGAGAATCTCAGCTCCAGTGCCTGGAGCACCTCCTCCCCTCCTTCTGCACTGACCTTGGTGTCTCCATGGTGTTTCCCTCACACATTCTCACCTCCTCCTCTTCTCTGACTGGGAAAAACTGTGCTTACTTTATTGTGATTTTCTTCTTAAATATGCTATCACAGAGGTGTTACCAACATCTGTAATAAACCCGGGCTTGGCCAGCAGCATGTCCATCCTCAGAGCCATCAGGGATTGGCTCTGCCAGACATGGTGGAAGCTTCCAGCAGCTTCTCACAGAAGCCACTTCTGTGCCCCTGCCCCATTACCAAAAACCAGGCCGTGCAAAACCAACACAGCTAGTTAATTTCCAGGGCAGCATATTGATAAAAACATGAAAAGCTCTTTTCAGCCAACTCACCAGCTTAGTTAATGTAGAAAGAACTCCTTTTCCTACACCTATAATCTCAGGAATGCTTTTCTGCTGAGAGCTGCCATTTCTGGTCCTGTTGTCTGGAACGTAGGGCAGTGTAAGTCACAAGGCTGTACATCAGACCATGTGATGAATATGGAGACATGCCTCTTTTTTTTGAAGAACATGTAATATTCCTTTGAACTGCATGATAACTAAGTAGAAGGATGAAATATTCAGTATGCCTATTGTAATTTTTTAGGAGAGTTGTCTGTGATAGCAGCTTGATGCACGTGGATCCTAAGGAATTATAGCCCAGTGCTGCAAGTACTAGTGTTCAACATATAGAGAAGTCAGTGATCTTTACTAGGATGAAAATGACATTTATGTCTTGGAAGACAGTGCCATAGAAATCAAAATTTAGAAGTCAGTGTCTGTTGCATTGCAAAGAGATAATCAGTAAATTTCCCTTCTTTATCATTTTAGAGATGTACTTGATAACAACATATAGTACGTAGTACATTTGTACATAGTACTTATTAAGGTTAGCTTTGGGCAGGCAAAATGTAGTTGTTGAAACACTTAGGTTGTGAAACTGTGAACTCAGTTGAGTGGTCATAGAAATATTTGGGTTAATCGTCTTAATTTAACTCTTAAAGCAACCCCAAGCCAGTGGATATGGTAGGAGATGGTTCAGTATTTGCTGGTGCATCATTCTCTTACTCGGGTTGTTTAAACTTATGAATGACAAGTAACCTTACTGAGTTCTAATAGAGTTGATCGAGAGCTAATTGCTGCATTATTTAGCTGTGTTAGTCCAACTGTGGCCAATATGACAAAAGCATTACTCAACTATAAACAGCTATAATTTGTGCTTCTGGAGAGGTGTAAATGTTTGCAGAACTGGACTGTATTAACTTTATGAAGGAAGTATTAACAATAAGTTCTTTTGTACTTAATTTTGCATAAGGTAAGGCTGTAAGGTTTCTCCTAAGACATGCAAGTGATACCCCTTGATATAAGTGAAATTTTTGTGCAAATATGGTTCATGTTTGAATAATTGCTGAAACTTCACTCTCACATATGTGTACCTTGTGTAGCAGTTTCTTGTTGCACACATTTGCCTTGTGTAAGTGCCTGAGTTCACTATTGCAAATTAATTTATTCAAGGCCTTGTTATGTGAATGACAAACTAAGATTCAAATACAGTTCTGACAAATACACATAGGGAGATTTGTCCTCTGATTGGCTAAAGCATCTTATTCTGGTGGAATAAATGGTCTTATTTTATACAGTTTTTGATAATGACATTAAATTACTTAACTTTTTCTCAGGGAAAAGCAGAAGTATCTGCAACTTTTCAGCTGTATTGTTCCTTGGCATTTTTCATCCTTCAAGGATCTTATTTCATGTATGTTAATTTATTAATTGAAATGATTTCTTATTCGTTGTTTAGGAATTTAGTCATAAAGCTACACTCTTAAAGAATGGCAAGATCAGAACCAGTAGAGGACAAATACTACAGAATCCAGTTCAGTGGGTTAAAGATCTACTAGGAAGTGGTATTTCTGTGACACGGAATTATGTGTGGAATAAGGTAGGCCTCATTTGATTCCTGAAGTTAGCAATAATGAATGGCTGTAATAAGTTTCACTAATCTAGGTGTCCTTACTCTTTGTAAAGCAAAAGAGGTTACAAGCCTTAATTTTAAATTCCTTCTTACTTTGAATGAATGAGCAGCAATGAAAGAGCTACATAGCTATGGCTGTACTGTGATGAACAAGTCATGAGTGTTGAAAGAATGCTCACACTCTAAGGTACCAGGAAATTGAAAGAGGAGCTTTAAAGATTATTAAGACTGATAGAGAAAGCTGTAAGGTAGTTTGAATAAAAAGGAGCAAACTTATTCATGCACAACTCTTGCAAAAACACTGACAGAGTTTAAAGGGCATTACAGATGGGCTATATTATGCTTGGACTTTTTTTTCAATTAGAATTCAAATTGGCATAATTTCTCCTTGATCTTGACAGATCTAGGTTAGGTTTTCAAGTGTGTAAACTAGATTTTAAAAGAAAAGTGAAGTTTCTACATCGATCAGAAAAAAAAAATTAAGACAATCAGTTACCCACTTAGATTTCTTTTTACAGGTTACGTATCTTGGGACAGAGTTGTCAAAATTCAGTGTTGGTGAAGCGTCAGTTTCCAGTGACCTGGAGTTACCAACGCAGAAAGGAAACCCTTTGAGTACGTACCACTTAAAATCTAATATTCTTCATAACAGAAAGCAGCAGAAAGTGATTTCTAAAGAACTTAAAGCTCAAAATTCCTCTATTGCTTTCTGATTTTTTCCTGGGGTATATGGTTATCGTGGATCTTGATCTTGAAATGTAAATAGTGCCAGAACTTGTACATGAAGTCTAAAAAAGTACACATAAATTTGTTGTGTGAAGACAATATGATTTGATTGCTATGTAAAAAAATTCTATGTAACACTTTATATTAAAGTATTTACTATAAAGTGAAGTTCTGAGTCAGCTATTTTAATATTTTTTATTCTATTGCAAACAGATACTCTAGCATAAGCTTTAATCTCATGCACATCTTCAAATCATATTGAATTATATGTGTGATGGAAAATCCCAGTGTGCCCAGGCAACACTAATAACTAGGTGGATATTTTATTCTCTAAAATAAATAGTGAAAAGAAACAAAGTGCATGATATGACAAAATGGCACTAAGCAATTTTTTCAGAACTGCCTAGCAAACTTAAGAACTTCAATCTAATTTTAATAAGCAATGTATTCTCAGGGAAACACAAGTCTCTTTGACAGCCAGCTTTGAGTCCATAAAGGTTTTGGGCTTTTGGGATTGGCTCTGTTAATTTGATAACGCATTGCACTTCATGTGAACTGGGATACCAGGGTTGGTAGTTTTTAACATACTGAAAGCAAATTTAAAGATAATAGTTTAAAAGGACTGACTTGGTATTCAACCTACTGTATTCTACTGGTATTTGCTTCAGGCTGAGAGCTTCCAGATGATGAGTTTATTTTTCCTTATTTCAGTAACTTCACTTTCTACCAGGTGTAAGTGACTTAGAACTGGATTTAGTTTCCAAACTTTTTGATAGGCCTTTGAAAATTTCACAAGTTCTTCTGAATTATTTGTATTGTGAAAAATTTATGATAAACATTGTAAGTTCTAGAACAGAGGAATCAATTTATTTTAAAACTACTCCTGACAAACAGAAATCAGTCTGACGATAAGTAAGTGTTTTTCCCAGGTAGTCCAAAGTCATCTGGAAAAAAGTAAGGAAGTTTTTTTGTGACGTGTGATTTAAGATGACGGTAACCACTGCCTAACCATTAGTCTTAGGTGAGAAGTTGAGGGAGGGAAAGTCAAAGTGTTCTCTATTTCAGTTCCATTTCAGATACTTCATGGCCAGATATGTAGGATATAAAACAGTGTCTTAAGTTGTTTCAGAAGAGGATTAATCTGCACTGTTGTTTTGTGAGTATGGTTCTGGTCATTAGGCAACCCTCAAATGGTTTCCAAGCTCAGTTCATGAGTTAGCTTGTTCCAAGTGCTTTTTCCAAGAGGCACTTTGTGTGCAGCCAGCCTGCTCAAAAGCAGAGGAAAATCTGCTGATATGGATGTGAACTATTCTGTACCACTTGCGTGGAGACATTCCCAGGCACTCTTTTATCTTTCTAATATACTTAGGGCCTGTGCATATTATATAGTAGAAGTTTTTTCTGCTTTTTAGTGAACCAAACTTCTTTTTTTCTTACTGTATTAATGATTTTTTCTTTTTCTGTGCGTCCCAGATCAATGTTAAAAAAGAAGACAAGGCCTGGGAATTTGAGCGATTTTGGAGAAAATATTATTATTTTAAATACCCCTTCCTCACTTTTCTTGTAGCTACCCATCCCTTGGCCCAGTGTTCACTGAGATACTCTATGAAGAGCATGGAGAAGTGGGAAGAAAATTATATATATATACCATCTTGTAATAGAGAGAAGCAGCTACCAACGAACTTTTTGTTGCCAAGTTTAGGAAGTGTGTCCTAAGAACCTCGACCAAATTAAGGTCCCTTGGCAAGGAGAGAAGTATTTGCTGTTTTGTGGCAGCCAACATAAGAAATAATCCATTTTTTCAACTTGGTTGATTTTAAGGTACTTCAAGTTTTATATAGCATCAGCCTTCAAGCTACCTTAGTGTAGCTGTAGGAAGTGTTATTTCACCCTTTAGGTGCAGCGGAAATAAGACACAGCTACATGGTCCTTCTCAGGATAGGAAAGAGAGACAAATTTATTCTAAAACACACTGCTTCAGTACAGTCTCCTGAAACTTCAAAGACAGGATAAAGCTGATTGGTGCAGAGAGAATGACACTTCTTCTCATTCTTCTCACACGTACCTAACAGGTGTATTATTTCTATTATTAATTTTTCTGTTATGTTTACAATAGATAAAGTGGCTGGCTTTGGGAAAGAACTCTGGCTAAGCCTGAGAAACACGAACTGGGAAAACTCTCACAAGAGGTTTCTCTGGGCCCATGGCCACACCTTAGGGGTGTTAGTACAGAAAACTTGATGAGCCCATGAAGTAAAGCAGTCACAGACCAATTTAATAGAAGCATTAGAGACTGCAATTTTTGAATTGGTCATCTAAATCCTAGCTAAATTTCAGTGTGTTTGTCTTCTTTAAGTCTGAGTCTTTACTCTCTTCTAGGATCATGCTAGCAGAAAGCAAGAATTACTGTATTCAAGCCTGAGTGAAAAGTAAACATTGAGCAAATAAGCAGTACTTTTAGAGTATCTAGGAAAACAGAATATAGGAAAACAGAAAAAAACAGCTTAGAATTTCTCTGTGCTTTCTGATACTTGAAATGATGACATAATGTTTGCTAAAAATGACCAAGAATAACAAAGATTCAGAATCAGATGTCAACTGAAGAACAGTTATAAGTTGCAGAGCAATGTTGGTGTTAAATATTTCGCATTGAAATTCCAGCAAAGTGGCTTAAAAGGAAAGCTTATTCAGTTGTTACAGTAAGTGTGATATGCACATTCATTTTGCAGGGAAGACAGCCTTTGAAAAACAGCTTGACTTGTCCAATTCTTGTGTTCAGGCAATCCCTTACTGCCTTAATACCATTAGCCCACCTGTAAAGATTAAAACAGCTCTTTTTCACCTTTAGTTCATGAAAGGTCACAAAGTTTTGTGGAAGAAGAGTGTTTTCAAGGGAATCCAAGTGATTTCTTAATGGCTGAACCATAAGCTGTTTTGAAAGGTTTATGTTAGTGTTATTTCAGGTATGGAGTATTAAATTTTCAGTGGAACTCAGTAGGAATGCTTGAAAGCAAGTAAGAAAGTTGTGCTATGATCGTATGTGATATGGTATGTTTCTGTTTTCTTTGAGGCAAGCAATGAAACACTTACATTTAGTACTCTATTTTTCAAGTTAGAGTTTTGTGATGCCTATTATAATTTTTCCAAGGAAGATATAGATAAAAAAAAAACCAAAACACCAAGCCCCAGTCATCTTACAGCAGCAACTGTTGGGCTGGTGAAGGAGCAAAGGAAAGTCTGCCCTTACATGTGTTAGGTGGTGTAAGGCTAAGTGAAAATGTAGAGAAACAAATCAAGAAAAATAAAAAGCGTAAGTTCTCTGTGCATTAAACCATCAGTATTAAGTGACGCTTTTTTGTTCTTTGAACAAAAGTATCTTTTCATGCTCCTAGGAAAAAAATTTATCAGAAGGGACACCAGCACAATCAGAGTCCTAATAGTGGTTCCATTGCTTAGCCTCTTAGGAGCTTTGACCTGAGTAATATGCAGCCAAACACTACGTCCTTGCCACAAACACAAGTTGTGAGAGCTGTGTGCTGAAGGAGAAACAGCTGTTGCCAGGGAATTTATGAGTAAGTGCTTTCTTAGCAGTCAAAAAAGCTAATGGTGGATTCAAGGGCTAAGCAAGAGATATGATACAAAAAAGAAAAGTAGGTGGCATGGAATTGATTTGTGTGTGGGAGGGAAGGAGTGCTGGGGAAAAATGATGATGCTGCTGAGGTTTTGGATTGATCTAAATGACCCAATAGCAATGCTTTTCAGAGCTCAATATGGTCAACTCTCCTGTGTCCAAATTAGAAACATTTTGCTATCTTGGTATAGTTAACAAAATAACTTCATATCATTTTGAGTAATCCATTAAATATCTCAAAAAATTAATAGCATAGAGAAATGTCTTCTAGATTTAGATGGAGAAACAAAATACATAAGCATTGCTAAATAATCTTGTGTTATCTAATTTAAAGGGTGGTGTGGAAATGCTCCTGAAGATGCTCTGACCTTTGTGTATTTGACCAAGCTTGTAATTTTGTGTTTTCAATATTGCAGTTTTACATCGATTGCTCATTGAATCCTATCTGTAGTACTTGTATGATTTGAACGGTGCTATTGCACTTGATCTGCTATTTTTGCCTGTACTGCCTGTGATTGCACTACAAGGAGACGACCCTGACTGGCCACAGTGCAAAGTTAGAGTGATCAGTTCAAACCCCAGTGCCAGATAACGCTGCACTGGTGTGGGTAACAGTGCCGAGTCAGGTCTGCTGTGGGAGGCAGTAAGACAGAAAACAGAAGTGAATCTAGTCTTTGTTGGTCATTGTAAACTAAAAGTGCATCCACGTATTAAAGCAATTCTTAATGCTTCTGTACATAGGCCCTGCCTTGCAAAGAATTAAGCTGAGAAACCTCTGCAGAAAATGCTTTGTTACCCCTGTTTGTTTGTTTGTTTATTTGTTTGTTTTTAAATAGAAGCAAATAGGCTTAGTATCTTAAATGACAGGGCAGAATATTTGGAGGCAGGTGCTCTTCAAAGTTACAAAAAATATATTGTGTACTAGATTGCTACTTATTTATATAAAAATCACAGATTGAACTGCTCTTTAGTATTAATTGAAAGGTAACAAAGATTATGGTTTACAGGAGTTATGTTTCTCTGCTGAACAAATGAAAAGCCACATTGAAATTTTCTCAGATATGGCTACTATTTATATTCTACTTGCCAAAATAATGGTCTTGTAGCATGTGTGGTCATTGTCACCCTACCATCTGCGTGCTCAGTCCTGAATGGAAGCAGTTACCGTAACAGTGTAGAGTAATTCTGTAGCAAAACTAACCATTAACAGACAGTGGAGATGATGCAAAATTAAAGATATATGTTATAATGAAAGTTA